GAGGGATCGGGACACGGCTGGGATACAGAGTTAATAAAATGTAACTGATAAGAAAAAAATAAAATTCAAAAAAAAATAATAATGAACTGTGACAATTATACATAATGAAGTGTGACAAATGTATATATGTATGTAATGAAGTGTGACAATTTCATATATAATCAGCTTTATGAAATATGACTTGAAGTATAACCATTATTATGACTCCATTTAGCACATCGTAACAGTGCTAACCCTTATTATTGCCATTTCATGGCTTGCAGCCTTGACTCCCAAATAGATGTCTGCTCAGAGAGTGACCAACCAGATCTTTCACTCTCTTGTTTTCTTCCACATGCCTGAGCATGGGAAAAGTTTGCCCACGTGTGGCCAATGACTACCTTAATGATTATAATTTACAAATAGGCACAGCCCCTTTTCTAGCTGGGTAGACTTCATCTGAGAGGAGCCTGTGAGTTCTGCCTTTCGTATTCTCTTCGTGCACATGGCCACGCAAGTGCTAAGCGATGGCATTTTATTTAATCCTTGCATTTACTTGTACATGGTTATAACTTTATTATGAGTTCACATCTTGGACTCTACAACATAGAACATAAATGAAATATTAAATTAATTGGAAAGTCACAGGCAACTTAGTAAATCTAAAAATAAACTCACAGGCTTTCTCTTTTACTCTTAATGATTGATTCTATTAAAGATAAAGGGTTGATGGTTATAATGCAAAAATTTGGTTTGAAGTCCCACATTGGAAGGGTAAAATGCTAGTAATGATGAAATCATAGCTGTAAAATCTCTAAATAGAAATGAATGAGATATTAAACAAACCACATAGGACCTGGGCTTCACTAGGCAGTAGAAATCAGCTACTGTCAGTGTTATTGGGAAACAATCATTGAAGCATTAGAACATGTAATTTGTAATGAACAGATGTGGGATCTATGCCTATGATATGAGTCACTCCACAAAAGTATTAGGAAGGCAAAACATTTTATAGCCAACCCTCAATTTTCAGAAGATCAGAGTTTAAATGAAGAGACAAAAATAATATCTAAAAGACACTGATAATACAGTGTGCTGTAAACTGAGCAAATGCAAAGGAATGTAGAAGAGAAAGACGTTACTGTGGCCTGTGTGGTCATGTCCAGACATGATGCTTCTTCAGCTGATCTTGGATAGGAGTGAGTAACTCAGACAAGAAGACTGATATGGTCAGGACACTACAGGATGAGGAAAGACTGAACAAACTTCCATACAGGGAGAAAGTGGGCTAAGATGTTAGAAGAAAATAAAGTTTGAGGGGTTGAAGTGGCTTGAGTGAAGTGGTTTTTAATTGGACAGTCCAGGTGAAGCAGAATATCCATCCTAAGGAACCGATGAAGACTTTAGGAAAAGGGGGTCAGGATATAAATTCATCACATGCATAGTGTGTAATTCCCCATGATAATGAATTACAGCAATGGAGAAATCAAGTAAAAACCTTGCCACCAAGAACTTAGATTTTATTAGAGATACAGGTAACGTTGTAAGGAAGCAGTTGCATGAATCTTGCAATACCTGTAAAGTCCACTAGAGAGGAGAACTATTGGGAGTGTTCCAGGGCTAGAGGCCAACACAGTGGGGAACAACGAGGAGGACAGAGGGAGACGAAGTCATGGATGACTGCGGAACACACTAGCCATGGAGAGGAATTTGGATTTTACCCTAAGAGCAACATGAACCCATAGGGTGGTGTGATATGATTTATGTATTTTAAAAGCTCACTTAAGCTGTGGGCATGGATTTAGAGTGTAATGAATTAATGCATAGCTTGTGTTGAGGGATGTTAGTGGTTGAGATTTGAGCTGTGGCAAGAAGGGTAATGTGAAGCAGTCAGGTTTAAGGTGCATTTTAATGGTAGAGCCCAGTGTACTTACAGGGGCTTGGCGGCAGCCCATGAAGCAAAAGGGGAATTAAGAATGACTCTAGTTTTTTGGTCCATACAACTTATTTGGTCAAAAAAAAAAAAAAAAGCTTCACTTGAAGCATTTATTACAAGAAAGTCTGAATAGAGAGTCCAGAAGATACATGGACATATGAATCTATGGGTTCAGGAAAAAGATTCTATCAAGAAGACATTTGGGAATCATTAACAGTGAAAGGATATTTGAAGCCAAGGAACAGTGTGACCTCATGAAGTAAACCAAAGGAGGACAGATCCCCAGAGTAGACCAACAGCCAGAAAGCTGGGAAGAAAAATAGGAGGTATGTTTTGAGAAGGAGCCAAATGTTGTCGGGAAGCCAAGTGAAATGAGGATGATGAAATGATCCTCAGTAATGTCAAGCTGGAACTCTTACCAGGTGGTGGGTTATGCCTGTAATACTAACACTTGGGAGGCTGAGGCAGCAGGCGTAAGAGTTTCAGGCCAGCCTGAGCTACATAGCAAGTTCCAGAGTAACCTAGACTACATAGTAAGACCCTGTCAAGAGTGGAGGAAGAGGAAGAGAGTGCCGTTACCAGTTTTGATAATAAGCACGTTAGTGCAATGATAGGGACACAAGCTGATGAGAATGGGCTGAAGAGAAGACAAGGGCAAGATGAGAAAATGAAATCTTGATGGGGTGTGGAATAAAGAAATGGCTGCTGAAGATGACTTATTTTGTTATCTGTATTTGTTCTGATTCGGTTTCTTAGTGTTGTTGGTTTGCATAAGGTAAGAGTACTGCAATATGTCTGTATGCTAATGGGATAAAGGGGAGCTTGATGGTGTGGAGGAGAAGATACCTGTAAGACTGAAATTCTTGGGAAGACAGTAGTTGCTGTAATCTAGTACAATACTGTAAAACAGTGATTCTCAACTTGTGGGTCGTGACCCTTTGAGGATCACATATCAGATATCCTGCATATTAGATATTTGCAGTAAGTTTCATAACAGTAGCAGAATTACTGTTGTAAATTGGCAACAAAAATAATTTTATGGTTGGGGATCACCACAACATGACCCCGAATCATAAAACTAGATTGCAGCATTAGGAAGATTGAGAACCTGCTGTAAAGGCTGTCTTCAGCAGAAACAAGAATCATCTTCCTTAGCAAGTGTGAAAGCACAAAACAGAGACGCACGTGAGGTTGTGTTTGTGGGTTTGGAAGAGAGCAAAAATCCAACTGGATTCCGAATATTTTCTTGGACTTGGGAAAGCTGTTGAAGATTTCAGGGAAGTCAGAGCATAACAGATCTCTGAAACATTGGGAAGTGAATTTACTATTGGAGCCATGTTTGAGAATGTCACCTGTCAATTTGGTATTATAATTTGTCAAACCTGGAGTGACGTGGGCAATGAATTTGTATGGAGGTTCTCCTTCGGTGGCCTTCTGGATGCTGAGTGAGGGCTCAGTCAGGTATAACCAAGATTAGGGTTTTATAAAACAAATGTCAGTGGTAGGAAATTAGGAACGTTTACAAGGGAATGGCCAGGGTGGTTAGGACTTGTGTACAAGTTTAGAAGCAGAGGTATGGATTTTGAGTGGAGTGGACATGAGTCATAGCAACAAGTAGCTCTAGTTTAAAGAAAACTCCACAGGGAGTTTTAGCACACTAGATGTATAAATATAAGATGTATATTTAGCACACTTCTTTAGCACACTAGAAGATGTATGAGAATTTGGCCATGTGTTTTTTTATGACAGAAGAGTGACAGGAAGCTGAACCTTGTTAAGGTGATTGTTAGTTTCAGGACTCTCCTGAGACTTGTGAGTTGTTTACTTCCTGAGTCTCAAGCGCCTCCCCTCTGGAGAGAATGTTTTAATTCATACAAATCTGCTGCACAACAATCACCATCAGTTCCATTTGTGTGACAGTGTATATATGTTATATGTGGGTGCAAATGCGTATGTGTGGGCCTACATGTGGAAGCCAGACGTTGATATATCATCCATTGCTGTCCACAGTGTCTTTTCCTGACATCAGAGCTTACTGATTGCCTGAACTGGACAGCCAGTCTCTGATTAGGAGTTCCAGATGTGCACACCTGCACCTGGTTTTCACATAGGTGAAATTAGGTCTCCATGCTTGCATGGCAAGAGCTGTACTAAGAGCTGTATCTCTCCAGCCTCACCAGTAGTTTTTTAAGCACTTCAGTGACCAGATCTCACTTAACATTTTTGTCATATTATCTTATTAAGGGAAATCAAATTAACACTTGAATTTATATAAGACCAATAAACCTTCAGGACCACCTCAGGTTCTTTACCAAAAGTATTCCCAAGTATGAGAGTATATAGTATATAAAGATAACATTTTTAAAGTAGCAAAGTAATTTTTAAAGATATGTTACTAGATATAACATTCTGCCCACTTGGAATCTTCCATCATTCCTGAACCAAGTTTGGAGATGTGAACCAACACTTAGACGTAAGCTGGAGTTAAAACAGGAATGGCACATACCTGTCGCCATCCCTACATACATGGAATAAAAGTAGACCCAGACTTTGACACTTTTGAAAGACTAGAAAATACAGCTCTATTCAGGGGGAAAAAATGATCTGTTTCTTAGCTCTTTTCCCATGAGCCACACAGTAAGGTAACAGTTATTAAGTTAATATACTGAATGCATTTGCATTCCTGTCTCACCTAAATGGGCAGCACAGAGAGATGCATGTATTATCCTAAGTTTACATGTGAAGAAAGAGCTCTCTGAGGCCTTCTAAGGCCAAGGGTTGGGTTCATGGGTTTGATTCCAGAGGCTTTTCTCAACCATTACCCTCTACTGCCCCTATAATGCTCCCATCATATTCTTAGAAAGAATCTTAATGGAAATGGAGCAAATACTCCTATTTGCATATGGACAAGCATTGTGAAGTCAGTGCTGTAAACATCAGGGTCTCTGAGAAGCTGCTCATTCCGAGGAATTTCAGAACAGTTGTCCCCTGCCCCGCATGTCAAGCATTGGTCTTAGTCCTAGCGACTGAGTTCTATTTCCTGGTCCCTTCTCTAACAAAGCACTCTGTTTCTTCTGTGTTCCAGTTGACCGTCCTCCAATGGAACCTTCCCAGTTTGTGTCAATTGTCCCTAAGTATCCAGACAAGATGGGATTTGATGAGGTAGGAATGTGTGTGTGTGATATGCACATGTGTGTAGGAGCTTGTGTGTTTGTGTTGGAAGAAAAGACCAAACATCTGTTGAAGAGCAGGCAGGCAAGCTTGGCAGCTGGAAAGGCCCTGAGGACTTGGCCTTGTCATTCTGTTTTCTGGTCTTCACAAAGGAGGATCGTAGGAAACTTAATCAGAAAGAATTCTCCAGCAATGAATGTGAATTTTGCTATCAATTTTACCTTTTTATTGAGATTCAAGGGTAAGGTAAAGAAGATGTATATTTTAGGTTCTGGGGAACATTGACTTTATTCTGACATAGCCGATGGTTGGAAACTCTTCTAGAACACTCCATGCTTTGTTTCCTTTCTGCTTTTCCTCCATGGGAAAAGTTGGAGGACAAAGTTGGGAGAACAAGTGAAGAGAAAAACATGGTCTAGAACTCTTTGGGCAGGCAGGAACTTGATGGTAGTCTCCCCAGGGCCATATCCACTGTGTAAGTATATGAATAACAACAAGGAGGTGGGAGTTTAGCTCTGCAGTAGAGCATTCTTAGGATAAATGAAGCCATGGGTTCAATTCCTAGTGCCACACTGGAAGGGGGAGGGGAAGGAAAAGAGAGAGAAAGAAATAAGAAAGGGTAGGGGAATGGCAAGAGAGGAAATGGTAAAGGAAAGGAAGGAGAAAGGGAGGGAAGGGGGAGGGAGGGAGGCAGAAGAGAAGGAACAAAAGGGAGGGAGGAAGAGAGGAAGGGAGGGAGGAAACAGCAGAATATAAAGAGGTGCTTTTCTTGGTAGTATGTAAAAGAGATGGTTGCCAGTGCCAGAACTGTCTGTGCCACGGAGCCCGTCAACGCTCCTGATGTGGTTGCCGGTCCATGCTGAGTTGTTCTGTGGTCTGGAGCTATGACCCACCGGGAGCCCACAAACGGAGACAGAGTTGTTCCGGGGGTTCTGGATTTGTGCTTTGAGCTCAGCATGCTTTAGTGGATAAAAACGCCTTATCGCATTGGAACTTTAATATCCGTGTCCCCAAATCATGTTCATCCCGGGGAGCTAATGGAACTAGGAGCAGGGATCTCTCTACAAAACTGACTTGATTTCCAAGAATAGGAATGGGTACTTCATGAATAGCAATAGTGATTGTGCTATTTCCACACAAGGTAGGAAAAGGAGAGATGAATTTAAATGTAGGAAAGTATAAATAGACCCTGTTGAGTCTATTTGTATTTACTAAAAATAGTAAATAGTTCTCAAAACTGACCAGTGCTAAAAGGGTGGGCTGAGCAGCCCCACAAGGGTGGGCCCTTCCCTGGATGTCCTCCCACATAGCCTCGCTCTTGCTGAGAGCAACTTCCCTTCCCTTCAGCTCTGGCCTCTATTTTCTAGGAAAGAGCACCCAAGTGTCTTTCAGTATCTTCCTTTGCTCCTCCTGGCATCACATTTCTGTGAAGAGTAAATCCCAGCAAATGAAACAAAGCCAGGACTGGCTCGCCCCACCTTGGGCAGGACGTGCTGGTAGGCTGGCCCTAGAAAGTGAGGCGGGCAAGGACTGCTTTCCACAGCCCAGCATAATCATCTCTCTGTCTGCAGCAGACATGGGCTGTGGAAAAGGGGTGTCAGAGGCCTTTTCCGTCCTCCCATACAGTGACCTGGTTGCTGGTGTCTGGCTGCCTTTGGCACTCAGGTCTTTGCTCTGTTTACTAAGTATGAGCAAGCCGACTGTGTTTTTCCTTCGTGGCTACTGACTTTATTGCCCTTGCCCTGGCAGGCCTCAGGACAGGACTATTATTTACTAAAAGCTTCCTGGACTGGAGGCCTCTGGTTTGCAGGGGACTTTTTGGATGTTTCTCTTGTTTGTTTTGTTTTGCTTTGCTTTGTCTCCTCTGGCGACCTCAGGTGGCTCTCTGGATGCACGGAGGATATGCCGTTTCCTTCCTATGTCTGTAAAACCAGGGAATGGACGGTTAGGAATCTAAAGAAGGAGGAAGTGAAGCATGACCGAAAATAGCACATTAAAGCCCCAAATATAACATCAGACAGAAATCATGGCTTCTTTTTAAACTAGTAACTATCCGCTACTGCACGTGCCTGCCATGCCCCTCGTCACACGGAGACGTTATAAGGAGCATTCTGTCGCTCCCATGAATCCATGTGTGAACAGAGACGAGAGTAACTTGAAAAGGGAGGATTGAAAGTTTAGTTGGTAAAACTTCTGATCCCGTTAAAACAGATATTTAAAACCATATACAGGATGACATTGCGGCAAAGCAATGTCTGTACAGTACAGTCTGCACCCCAACCTGATCCGCCATAAACTTTCTCTCAGTTCTCATAACATGAAGCCAACTGTATTATAAACCAGATACGTAGATATTTTCGTATGTACAGGGCCTGAGGGCTGGGTTTGTTCAAACCACTCCTTTTCCAGACAGCAAAGCTAACTACCCAGAGGCATTAAATGTCCTCCCCAGAGTCACCAAGGAGGAAGCAAGTTCCTCTGTCCTGTTCCTGTAGGTTTCTCCTTCACTGTGACATAAATTCCTGCTGGTGGCTAACATCTCCTAATCTTGAAAAGTTTAATATTCAAAGTCAGTTCATTACTGCTTGAAGCAAGTAATTTGCTTCTTCTCATTTGCCCTTATTCAAATGCTGACTTATCGACTGGTAAGATATTTCCATGGATGAAATCACTTGTTGCCATTGCTAGAAGACCTGAGTTTGATCCTGGGGTCCCACGTAGAAAGAGAGAACTAACTCCTGTAGCTTGTCCTCTGACCCTCACACATGTGACACCCACAGCCACACATTTACACTGCACACACTAAACAAACAAACAAACAAACAAACAAATAGATAAATAAATGTAAAATGCTAACTTACCCGCAGCAGCGTTCACGAGGCTTTTGTTGCCTTATAATGTCTATGTTTAAGTACTGCCATCAAGCAGGCGTTTGCATGCCAAAGTGAGGGATATGGGTGGACTCAGCCCTCGCTGAGAAAGCCTAAATGCACATCCTTCCTTACTCACAAGCCAGCAGTGCCCTCTGTAGAGCACCCTACAAAAACTTGTACCCAAAGTATGTTTGGCATATTTACATACTCCCTCCTCTGTCATGGGTAACCGCCAATGGAATGTCCCCTTTTCTTCAATGTCTTTTTCCTCTCAGCTCTAGGGAGCTGAACAAGTCTGGGGGACAACCAGCTTCTGAGACTGAGATCCTGGCATTCATTCTGAAAGTTTGGACAATAAAAGCACCATATGGAGACTCAGACTTTTTTTTTCTTTAGTTTTTGAAAGATGTAAAGCTTTCCTGGCAGACGTGGACCGTGGTCATACCAAACATAGTACTTATGGGGTCAAGCCACAGTGGTCCCAATCCCTGGGTGAGGAAACCGAGGCATAGAAACAGCAGGCCTGAGACAGACAGCAAGCAACAGTATTAAAACACAAGTACAACTTACATGGCTACATTTAGTCAGTTGTGTGCATGGAGTCTAATTCAGGCCTTCCGAGTGATCATTTCTTGAGCTTTTGTTTTCTCAAGCGTAAAGAGAACGTGTTAGCCAACGAATATCAGAGAAACTGCCTGTTAGGCCATTGTGATGGCTGCGTTTAGAAAGCAGCTTCGTTTCAATAAACAGCATTTGCCCCAATGAGCTTACTACGGAATGCAAAGCTGGACTACAGCCCTTCTTCCCATCCCTTGTCCCACAGACCCCTCTGATCCCGATGTTTTTCAACCAGCCTCAAATAGAACTCGAGTCACTTGTGTTTCTGTCCCCCTCTGCTTCCCGAGTTAGATTTTCATGATCAACCTCAAACGCAGGAAGGACAGGCGGGACCGGATGCTGCGAACGCTCTATGAACAGGAGATTGAGGTCAAGATCGTGGAGGCTGTGGATGGGAAGTGAGTCTTCTGCCTGTCCCCTTGGGGGTGCGGTTGGAGCAGGGTGGTGCATTCTCTGACTGAGGGGTCTCGGGGTGAGGGGCCTGTAGGCCCTTGTGAGAGAGATGCCCATGGTAGCAGTGATGTTGTATGAGATGGAGTAGAGCTTCCCTTCTCATTTGCATATGGTCATTTGGTTTTTCCCGTACCACTCATTTAAAAACTACACTTTACCCTCTGAATTCTTGGAACCCTGGTCAAAAATCAGTTGACTGTAAATATAAGAGACTGCTTCTGACCTCCTAATTTCATTAAGTTAATCTATGCCAGTACCATATTGACTTCGTGGCAGTAGATTAGTATGTAAGGAAACATGAGTCCTGCACTTTTGTTATTCTTCTGCAAGGCTGTTTTGCCTATCATGAGTGCCTGGTATTCTACGAGTTTTAGTGTGATCCTGTCAGTTTACACACAGATACACACATACACACACACACACACAACAGTGTAGGTGTTGATAGGTGCTGCACTGAACTTACAAGTCAGTTGTTGAAGGAATGCCAAGAATCCTAACAAGTCGCTCACTTATTAGATCTTTGTCAATTGTTTGAATGTGCTTTTTTTTTTTTTTTTTTTTTTTTTTTTTTTTTTTGCATGTAGTTTGTAAGTCTTTCACTTACACTGTTAAATTTATTTTTTGGCATTTATTGATAATGGTTAATAGAATTATTTCCTTCATTTATATTTTTGAGTATTTATTGCCAAATGTAGAAAACACTATAGATTGTTGTATACTGATCATGTATTCTGCAATGTTGCTTATCAATTCTAATCGTGGTGTGTGTGTGTCTGTGTGTTTGTGTCTGTGTGTTTGTGTATGTACACTCATTGCTTTGGTTTTCCTGTAGGCAAGACCTTGTCATTAACAATTGGAGGAAATGTTATTTCCTCTTCTGCAATCTGATAACGCTTCCTTTTCTTGCCATATGGCCCTGGCTATTGCCTTGAGTACAACGTTCAAAGGATATGATGAGAGCTGACATTTTTGTCTTGTTCCTGATCTCAGAGGGAAAGCATTTAAATTTTCTCTGTTACATACTGTATTAGAGGTACAGTTTTATAGAGTTGATGGTGCATACCTTTTATTACTGTGTTTTTGTAATTTCTTAATATGAAAGTTTGTCAAATGTGTCTTCTATTGAGATGACTGGATAGCTTCTAGTCTATCAACACAGCACATTGATTTATAGTCCTGGATATATTAAACCACACACTTGTAATCCTGGAAAATATTTTTACCGAGTCATGCCATGTAATCCCTGACTCTGTTGCTACATCCTATGGACTAGTATTTTCTTGAAAATTTTGCATCTATACTAATAAGAATATTGGCCTGTTGTTTCTGGTTTTGCTTCAGAGAATATTGACTTCATAGAATCATTTGAGATCATTTCCCCCTGCTCGCGCTCTCTCTCTCTCTCTCTCTCTCTCTCTCTCTCTCTCTTAATTTTGCAAAGGTTAGTAGAAATTTGTACTAATTCTTCTTTAAACATCTGGTTCTAGGCTTTTCTTTGTGAAAGATTTCAGATTACTAACTCAACTTCTTTACTTGTTTTAGACTTACTCAGAATTTCTTATTTTTAAGCAATTTCAGTAGTTTTACCATTGTATAAGTTTGCCCATTTAATCTAGGGTTTTTAATTTTTGCAAACAAACATTTGTAGTATAATTCTTTCTACTTTTATAAGATCAGTAGTACACCTGCTCTTTCAATCTTGATTTTAATGATTCAGTAATGGTAAATGGGTATTCTTGCTTCATTTATTTATGGATCTAGGTAAAAAATTGCCAGTTTTGTTATCATTTCACATGAGCAGATGTGTGTTGTGTTGTTTTCTAGTCAATAATGTATTTCTTCCACTATAGTTCTTACTATTTTCATTTCCTGCTTGATGTGAGTTTAATTTGCTTTTCTCTTGCTAGTTTTTTCTTTTTAATTAGTTACAGCTGTATTGTATTGTATCAAGTACAGTAGATAAGTGCAATATACTGCATTAATACTCATATCAGAATATTTTCTAATTTCCCTCATGAGTTCTTCTTTAGCCATAGCTTATTGAAAAGTGTGTTACCTTTATGGGTTTGTGAGTTTCTTAGTTTCCTTTTTTGATCATTCCATTGTGTTGTTTTAATATACAGAGGTCTGATTTGTGTTCTCGTGGTCATTATAGGCTAGCACATGGCTCTTTTAGAGAATGCTTACGATGCTCTTGAACACATGCATACTTTGCAAGCATTGAATAGAGCATTTGAAAAACGTCTGTTAGGTCTGGTTGCTTTATAATGTTGTTCAAGTTTCATACATATGCAAGCATTGTGTCTTCCTAATGACCTATCATTGTCTTTAGAATAGGTTTTCTCCACGTTTATTTTGTTTGACAATAGCATAGATTTTCAATTCTCTATGGCTACAGTTCAAACCATGTACCATTTCCCATTCTTTTACTTTGGGACTTTCATTTTCCCTGGGAAAGTATAGAGCCTTGAACATAGTTTTGTCTCCCAGAATCTCAGACACAAAGGGGATTTTCAAAAAGCCCGTATTAAAGATATACTATTCTTAATTTTTTTTCCTTTTAACCACTTTTGAGTAGTCCTTTATCACACCTAACTGGTAACTCTGTCCAGTTAACAGCGTTCATGACATTTTGGACAAATACCTGCATGGATTATTATTATGGTTGGTTTCCAGAGTTTTTAGGAAGCTGACTGTGGCCATTTTCCCCCAGTGCCTCTTTGCTTTTCTAGAGAGACCTTCACTCTACCATCTGGGGAATTTATCTGTGCTGTTTTTATTTTTGACCTTGTTTTAGTTTTCGGTCCAAAGGAATGCCACATGTGCACAGTTTTTCTCCTTATTCCTCTCTGTCCTCAGTCTTTCCAGAATGTAATATGCCTATAAATTGTTGTTGTTGGTTTTTCTTTTGTTTTTTTTTCATTAGGAGGACATTTTTTCAAAGTTTTTAGAACATCTATGACAAAAAAAATGTTGGGCATTATGAGTGATGTACAGGTGTAAAGAGACCATTTTGCCTTCATCACACTCCTAATGCTGTGTGGCCCATAAATCCGGAGGATGTCAAGAGAATTATAGGAAACTAAAAAGTCTTTCCCCACGTAGAGAGATTCTCAGAGGAGATTCACAGTCTGTCTTTCCCCTTGTCTTCTTCTTTCCCTTTCTGCTCTGGAGGGGTGCACCTTCACTTAGCAATCTTCATGCATCTTCTTCACCATGCAGGGCACTCAACACGAGCCAGCTGAAGGCCTGGAACATTGAGATGCTTCCAGGTTACCAGGATCCCTACTCCTCCAGGCCTTTAACCAGGGGTGAAATTGGTTGCTTCCTCAGTCACTTCTCTGTCTGGAAAGAGGTACGTAATTCTCTAGAGGAACAGTTTGGGAATGAGGAGAAGGGAGAATGGAACTTTCCAGATGCAAAAGGAGCCCAAATTGCCCTGGAAGTATGCTTGAAAGTTGCTCTTGCTTTGTGAATTCCATCAGCAACAAAGACAGTACCATGGTGGCCTCAGTGTCATGTGGGATAGTGACAGATGAAGGTATTCACATTGTAGAAACTTTTTTTTTTAGTTCATCTTCCCTGTAAACAGGAATGTTTTCTGCATGTCTGTCATATTTTCATTTATCAAATGAATTCACGTAAGAGTCACACAAAAGGCATTCAAGGCAGGGTTAGAGAGGATGGATTCTTTTCACGCAGGCAGAGCATGTGTACCTGAGCAGAGGTGACCAGCCGTGTGGGAGAATGTTGATTAGTATAAATGGGTCATTTTAAGTTATGCACTAGTCAGAGAAGAGCCTCGCTATGTGACACAGGCATTTGTAAACATTTTGAGTCCTGTGAGTCATTACTCTGGGAGCTAAGGAACAGGAGGAAAAATATGTGCCATACAACATATAGCTAAATACTATTGGAGGTGGCATTTGAGTTCAGAGTACATGAATAAGGGTCAATTCTCTCTCTCTCTCTCTCTCTCTCTCTCTCTCTCTCTCTCTCTCTCACACACACACACACACACACACAAAAGGAGAAGAGCATAAAGGAAATGGAAAACTGAATAAGGACTCTTTGGCGCGTTCTCTCCTTTAACGATCTAGTTTTTACTTGTGTTTTCTTGTCCTAAGTTTTAAATAGAAATATACAGAAGTACATAGATCATAAGGTACAGTCAATGAACTCACACACATAGCACAAGACACCCATGTTAACCAATACTGGAATCAGAAAATAGGTGACAAACATGCCACGGGTGCCCCCTCTGTACAGCCTTTAGGTCACTATTTCTCAAGGGTAATCTTCATCCTGACATCCGACAGCATGGGGTGGCCTGGCTTTGTACTTCATACGGGTGGAACAGCACAATACATATGACCTCTCAGCATTGCGTTTGAGAACTATCAAGCTGCAGGATTGCTACCACTGTGACATCGATTCATTTATGGCTCATATATTCTCGTTGCTGTGAATATGGCACCTGCTGTCAATGGACATTTTTTTTTTTTTGGATCCAAGTTATGAGCTCTTAAGGATAAAGTGGGTATCAGGGTTTCCATACCGTGTCCCCCACTGACGGCCTTTACAGGTTATTGACCGAGAGCTGGAGAAGACTCTCGTCATTGAGGATGATGTGCGTTTTGAGCATCAGTTCAAGAAGAAGCTGATGAAGCTGATGGAGGACATTGACAAGGCTCAGCTGGACTGGGAACTGATGTGAGTCACAAGACGGGTATCTCTGAAAGGCATTCTCTTCCAAGGTACAGAAAGCCCACCTCCCCAGCTGGTAGGAGACCCAGCTCAAGCTTCCTTCCACTTACCTGGTTTTCACACCACAGATGTTTTCAGAAATAAGAAGGAGGGAGAGGTTGGGCACTTGTTTTTGCCTCTATCTACTCTCCATGGTGAGAAACTACAGTAGATTTTTTAAAAAAGAGTAAGATTAGAGTCGGCTAGCCAATCAGGGGCTTCTTGACCGAGCAGAGGAAAAGCATTGAGGACCATTTGGGAGAACAATGGAAATTTCGACTGAGATTTCCACTGCAGGTGGGATGTGGGTGGATCAGAAGACAGCTCCTCCACTGGGAAGGGGCTGTCTAACAAGGGAAAACACTGACAGCTGGGCTGGTGGCAGAAACCCAGGCCCACTAAGGGAGTGCTGGCTCTGAGCTGATATTAATTAACGCTTGGTCTCTTGCCTCTGAGCTAGCATCTTTTTTCTCCTTCCTTCCTTCTTCCCTTTCTCTTCCTCTTCTCTCCTTTTCTTTTCTTTGTAAAATAAGCAACACTTCCTGTTTTCTCCAATGATACAGAAACATCCCAACTTCTCCAACTGTGTCTAAGGTAATCTTGTCAAATTAGAGCCTGCTCATTTGGAACAGCCAAGCTTTCTCTTCCCTTCCATCCCCAACAGGGAAGATAATTTTGGACCCTGGTGGAACTCCTGTTTTCATAGAAAGTGGCTTATTCTGAACTTAAAAAAAAACAAAACAAAACCCAGCAATGGCCCAACTAACTTATAGGAAGTAGACCTCAAAAAATCATGATATGCCAGGTACACACCTTTAATCCTAGCACTTGTGAGGCAGAGGCAGGCAGATCTTTGAGTTGGAGGCTAGCCTGGTCTATAGAGTGGGTTCCATGATAGCCAAGACTACACAGAAACCCTGTCTCAGAAAACTAAATAATAATAATAATAATATAATAAGTAATAAAAAGAGGTCTTTCCCTGTTCGAGTCATGTGACCCGTATTCTGAACAGTCTGTTGGGGTCACAGTTCTAGCCACCAGAGGTCCCTGCTCTTCAGCCCTTCTGCATCAGTGGCTGTACAGCCTGTGGTAGAGCACCATACCCCAGCAGACTGGAAGCTGTGCGCTTATGTGACACACACAAAGGCAACTTTGACTGACACTCGATAATCCCAGAAAACACCATCCAGGACACCTACAGCAGAGACTCAGCACACATCCCTGCTCATGGGTAATATGGTTGGTGCATTCTCAGGACCATGAAGAAAGGGTGTCTGTCCTGATAAGGACAGAGAGAGTAAAAGAGTTTCCGAAAATGTGAGAGTCATCTTTTAGAGAACTGTTAGCTGCTTTAACGAAGAAGTGTTACTCAAACCCAACACAAAAGCTAATCATCTGTCTGTGATTAGCAGCCATGTTTGTTTCTAGAAAAAAACAAAACAAATAATAAATTGGGACGGTCTAAATAATCACTGGACTTATCTGGGGAGTTTTCTTCCGTAGAAAATAAAATGTAGGTCATTTATGTTATTTCAAATTTTCTGATCACACTGAAAGGTAAAGAGTAAATGAGGTAAAATGAGTTTTATTTAATCAAATATATACCTAGCATGTAAGTAATATTTTAATCATTGATGAGATAGTTTATGGTTTTGTGCCATCCTCAAAGGCATATGTATAATTACACACAGAACACATTTAAACCCGGAAAAATAAAATGTCAGCTGTTAACCTATAGACCTACCAAATAATAAACTTGCTTTGTGTGGGGGGGAAAGCATTTTATACAGCTAAAATATCAAAATTTTAATTTACTTTTAAAATTCTTTTCCCCCATTCCATGTAGCTCTCCTTGCTCTCTCTCAAATTCATGGCCTATGGCCTTTTTTTCTTTATTGTTGATACATATATGTATAATATATGTAATATATATCCTAAATATATAAATATAAGTTGTTAGTATGAAGAGTGTTGAAGTTTGTATATGATTTCAGGGCTGACCACTTGGCATTGGATATCCAATTGGGGGTCCATCCATCTGGTGGAGGAGGGTTCCCTGCTCTCAGTATTCCTTAGTTTCCTGTAGCTCTCTCTCTAGGGTTGAAACCCTGTGAGACTTCCCCCTTCTGTGTCAGCGCATCTGTTGGCGTTGTCGCTCGGGTCTTGTTTAGGCAGCCATCTTGTTGAGACTTCCCTGAAGTTCATAGGAGATGTAGTATCTTAGCAGATATCCTATTCCTTGTCTCCTACAATCCTTTCATCCCTTCTTTCTTGATGTTCCCTGAACCTTACGTGTAGGAATTGTCCTGGAGATGGGTCAGTCAGCACTGGGCACCACCTATGTTGGAATTTAAATTAGTCGAATTCTAAACTGTTCTTCAGCCCCTGTAGCCTCAATTCAGGTGCCCCCTGTTTCTTTTCTGCGACACTCAAGAAATCCAGACTCTTCATAGTCTGAAATGGCAGTGGCTGCGAGGACATATGCTTAAGGACCTCGGAATCGTTGAAGGCATAGCATCTTCTTGTTCTCCATGCCCTGGTGTCTTCTTAAGAGCATGGGCATCATGTAAAGGGAGAAAGACTTTCAGAGTTGCCATTCAGACTCCCCAGAAGGAACCCTTTGGGCTCCTCTACTGCCAAGTCTTTGTCTCTCACCACCTTCCCTGTGCTGTTTGCCATCAGCACTTGGAAAGTGGTGCAGAAAGCATCCAAAGCTGGAACCCTGGGGACACGAAGACAACAGACTCAAGAGCCTCACATCTGGCCTCTTTTGTTTCTTTCCAACCTCTCTAAACACAGCTGGAAATATCATCGTAGGGAAATCATCCAAGCATTTTTTTTTTCATCTCTTTGCGTCTTCCCTTTCTGGCTTAGAGACAGACCACTAGGCCTGAATAGTTGAGGTGCTGATAAATGGAGCTGGGAAACTGACTTTATGAGTAGCAGTAGTAATTACGGATACCAAGGAATGTTCTTTGTGGTGGTAAACATTAGGAAAAGACACGAAAGTCCAAGCATTAAAATATCTTTGAAAGTAAATAGATGCTCCAGTCCTACAATAGTCAATATTCTAACATTCACTTTGCTCCTCTTACCATTCTCTTACAGTTACATTGGTAGAAAAAGAATGCAAGTTAAAGAGCCAGAGAAAGCGGTGCCCAATGTTGTAAATCTCGTTGAGGCTGATTATTCCTACTGGACGCTGGGCTATGCCATCTCACTGGAGGGAGCACAGAAGCTCGTTGGAGCTGATCCCTTTGGGAAGATGCTGCCAGTGGATGAGTTCCTGCCAATCATGTACAATAAGCATCCTGTGTAAGTCTCTGCCTTGGCCACCTGTCCTTTGGGCACATACTGTTCATGAATTAAGCCTCCTGGGAAAAACTTGTTATTTTTATAGTTGTATGGCTTTTCTTTAGGGGAGAGGAATTGGGAGGGAAGAGAGAAGGAGGGTGGGACTGAAAGGAGATGAGGGAAGGGGATATAGCTGGGATACAAAGTGAATAAACTTTAAAATATATAATAATAATAAATAAATGATAGTCATACAAAAATCCTTCTATACTCATAACCTGGAAAGGCCCCATGAAGAGACAGGAAGGATAAGGCAGATGAGGTGACCCAGTGCATTACCCAGTGCACAGACTATTCTGGTCTACTCAGAATCTGCTCGTCTGTGTCCTTCTGAATCCATAGCTTCACATACCTGATACTAAAGGTTATTTTCTTGAGCATCCTAGATTTAGGGTTCATTCTGCTCACCCCGTGTGTGTGCGGTGGCAGAGGTGCACCTCCTGTCAGTGGGAGATAACACAGACCCACGAACCAATCATCGTGATGTATCGTGATGCTCATGGTCATGGAAACTCAGGGAATGTGGATATAGCACCTGAGCCAAATATCAAAGGAGGAAGGTATACAGTGCTCAGAATCCCACAGGCCCAGCTAACTGACCTGACACCAAAAGGTCTGAGAAACGATGCTTGCCTGTCAGTCCTCACAGTAAGCTGTGAACCCTTGGAGGCAGGAACGGCCACATATCTCTGGCTCCTTAGACTACATGTAATGGCTGCTCAGCCAGTGTTTCCTAAACTCATGAGCAGAGCAGGAAACCAGGCTCTAACCTTGGCTCCTTCTCTCAGTTGCTAGGTGATCTCCAGCTCTGACCTTCATGTTAGTTGTTGAGGTTCCCATGATACAGCTCACTCATTTTGTCTCTTGCCATCAGTAAAGATGGAGCTCTGTGCCATCCTTTATGCAACATGCTTTACCTCTGAATCCTGACAGAAACAGAGTCCAGCCACTATCTCCTGAAAAGAGTACTTAATTAATACTTATTTTATTCACATAACTTTCAAGGGGCCCTTGGAGGAAGGCGAAGGTGTCCCTCTTTACAATTGCACAGAGCCAGGACAACAAGCAAGAACTGGGATGAAATGCCCAGCTAGCATGCTTCAGCCTTGTCCGTGTCACTAACCCCATTGCTGCTATCCAGGTCTCAGATGCCTTCACCTGTTTATCAGTGGAAACAAGAACAGGACAGTGATTGTAGTTGATCATGTTTATTTATCACTACGAGTCCAACAGAGTTGAAGCTTTACCTTTCAGAATAAGACTTGAGGCTCATTCAGTGAACCATTCTACCCAACCACAGCAGGTTGGGCCTGGACTTTTTGCTTGTTTGTGCAGATCTTCTGAAAGTGTTAAAGAAACCCTCATTGTGCTTGCAGTCTAAGGTTTTCTACAAATGGCAAAACTTGAAAAAGCAAGAAATGAACCCAGGTGGTTTCAGAGATGACAGGCAGGGGCCTCTGCCCTTCCCTGTTCCCTGAGGCTTGGGCCCCTCATGTGGGTGTGCACCTCTTGTTTACAGAGCCGAGTACAAGGAGTACTATGAATCCAGAGACTTGAAAGCCTTCTCCGCAGAACCTCTGCTCATCTACCCGACACACTACACAGGCCAGCCGGGCTACCTGAGCGACACAGAAACGTCAACCATCTGGGACAATGAGACAGTGGCCACTGATTGGGACAGGACACATTCCTGGAAGTCCCGGAAGCAAGGACACATCCGAAACAATGCCAAGAACACAGAAGCGCTACCACCACCAGCTTCTCTGGACACCGTGCCTTCCAGGGATGAGCTCTGAAGGCTCCCTGGAACTCTGGTCCACACGGTCCATCACTGTCTGGTTTCTCTAAAGGGCTACTCATCTGTTTGCTCCAGTTTGGCTTTTTGTTCTGACCTTTTGTTTTTAGGGATGGCAGTCATCTAATCAAAGTGGTTTGATGTGATTGATCAAAATGATAAACTCTGGATAGTGAAGGATGAAGAAACTAAAAAGCAAATTCCCTAGGATACCTTTTCTGGAACGCCTAAGTTAAACTTCAGTCCAAATGCCCAGTTCTCTCACTAGCCATAGAATGCTGTTAGCCACATTGATGTGGCAAATGGCTCATATTTTCTTGTCCAAGAGACGGTACCACCACTCAGCTGTCACACCAGTCAGTGGGCAATCAACACAGACAGGCCACTGGACTTTGTTTACTAATCTGAGTGGTTGATTTTGTTTTCTTTTTGTTTTCTGAGACAGGGTTTCTCTGTGTAGCCTTGGCTGTCTTGGACTTGCTTTGTAGACCAGGCTAGCCTCAAACTCACAGAGACATGCCTGCCTCTGCTTGCCTGATTGTTGAGGTTACAGGGGTGTGTCACCACGCCTGCCTGAGTGGTGATTTTATGTGACAGATGTGACCTTGAAAACATCAAGCCATCTAGACTACATTTTTTGGTCTATTTAATGTGACCTTGAGAACTGGTTTATGTAATGAATGTCTGGGGATGGGGAAATCAAACCATTAATTGGGCTTTTATTCAAAGGAACTCTGTCATGAGCCTGTTGCAAAGCTGATGTTTCACTCTTGGCCTCGTTATCCGGTGGTGTGAGTAACTGGCTTGGGCTAAGACTTGGCTCTTGACCATCATGGCGGCTAAATCTTTCATTGGAATGTCTAGTTGCCATGTGGCTGTAATATTTAGATATTTATGGGGGAAAGATCTCAACCCTTGGCATTTTTATTGTGGCTTCTTGAGTTCAGTATGCACTATTTATAAAGGGAAATGTAATATATACAGGGTGAAGGGTGGGTGATTCCAGGCCTGTGCTGGGGTGGTCCCGCCGCCGCAGCACCTCACACCGTTTGTCTCACTCCTTTGCCTGGGAATAAACTACAGGTCTGAGTTTAATGACTCACTGTTACAAGCTGAAACGAATTTCAGCCTCACAATTGGCCTAGCCTTGACTTTCATTATATTCTGAATTATTTATTTTACAAATGTGGAAGGGAAACAAAACAAAATGATGTCTCAGGCTCTCATCGCATACTGGGGAACATCAGGGTAGACATCTAAGTCTACCAACCATCTGAGTTGCCTGAATTTCCCAGCGTGGATTTTGTAGGCAAGAACACCGGTGAAAGACTAACCAGGTAGGAGTCAGTTATTCTCCAGCGAATGAGGGAGACATTGGTCTGGACAGCAGATTTAAGTCAACAATCTGCAGCTCTCAGAGCCCAAAATCCAAAATAGACACCCTTTCTCAAAAAGCATCCCCTAAAACTCCTTCCTCATTTCTTCACAGACCTGTGAGGTGCCGGGCTGTGTCAAGGCGTCCAGGTTCACAGCCGGGTGCCTGAGAACATCTCCCGGTGCTTCACCTCAGCCGCCCTTCCCTCCTCATTATGGCTGAGTCTTCTCCACAGCTGAAGCAGAGAAGCCAGGTGTATCTGGCTCCCGTTTGCCACTTCTCTTCTAGAAAAAAACAGGAAGAGCACTGGCGAGCTCGTGAGAAACCTTAGATGATTCCTAAGGTCTCCTTGGGTGTTCGGTATTTTGTTTGTAATTTGAATGTGTGAAGGTATGCCTGGCTTTGACTGTGTTTTTTATAGGGGTGGGAGGTGGCTGGGGTGCTGCAGGGGGACTGAGTTGCTTTTCTGTCGTGTTCTGGTTGTTGATGTTTCAATGGAGAAGTTTCCCCCGTTTGCCCTGTCAGCTGGTCTGATGGATTTAAGAATTTTCATTCGTAAAAGACCTTGGATTTCAATTCTTGAATTTTAGATTAGGACCTTTCTAACTGTGAATAAAGTTCTGGTTCTGTCAGTCTAGCCTGTGTTTCTGCCCGATCAGATCTGAATCCCTGGTGATGTTTTCATGTGGATATGATAAACTGCACCTCTAGTACCTTAAAGAGCCATCTTTCCAGCAATCCCGATTGTTTGCCCTGGCTCCCTTCTTATCTTCAACGAAGGCATCTGGCCGTTGCGGTGCCGCTTGAGGCCTTCAGAGCAGAGCTTTGCCTCTGGCCCTGGAGCCTGGTCTTGGTGCCTGGGAGACTGAACCCCGTCTGGATTCCTCTCAGGATCCAAGCTGTGATCTTCTGTCAGACAAGCCTGACCTTGGCAGTGCAGGTGCAGCTGTGTGGGCTGGCCCCTGAAGTCTGCAGAAGACTCATCCCTTGGGAGACCTTGGGAACTTGAAGGAGCAGGCCTCCCTACACCCTGGTCTGTCTTGCTGTGCTGTTTCAGGGTAGGGAAGTGACAAGCTGCCTTCCGGAGCTCTTCACAAAAATTAAAACGAAGTACCTTGTATCTAAATTATGCTTGCTTCTTGGCTCTTCAAACTCTTGCCAGTGACTGGTGCTTCCATGTCTGCATTGGAGTGTTGGAAACCAGAGAGGACTACTGAACTGCCATGGGATCCCCATGCAAACGAGACAGGCCAGCTGCTGCTGACAGGGGAGTAGGGGTGTGCAAGCTGGCATGGGTTATGGCATTGGAGAAGAAAGTGAAGGTGGCCATCTTTCATTGTTATGCTAATGTGGTCTGTCCGAACTGTTAGGAGATAAAATGATGGGGAGAGTGAGCTGGTATTGCACAGCAAACTTTTCCCTGGTCTCCAGAACCACGTGTGAGCACTGCCTGGCTTCCGGCCTTGTTCTGGAAAAGGACATACTCAGGGGAGGGAACAAAGGCAGGTTTCCACTGCTGTGGGGGGTCCAGAGGACTTGATTCTGCTGAGGAGGTCTATGGGTGATGAGGGAGGAGGTCTGCGCGTGGCAGCTGGAAGTGCTTTCCCGGCACAGTGAAAGGAGGCCTGTGAAAAGACCACCTGGAGCTAGTGGGAGTGTCCGTGGGATGGAAAGGTTGGGGATGTGCTGGGAGCAATGAGGGAACAGGGCAGGCTGGGTAAGGACAGCTGGCTGGCTTGCCTACCTTCTTTTCCCGAAGGCAGAGGCTGCTGTTTCTGGGGGCATTCTAGGATGCTGGGTTGGCTTCCTTTCCTGACAGACAGTACAGAGGGTTCAGGAAGCCAGAAAGGTTTCCCATCCTGGCACAAACCTGCAGATCTGTTTCTTACTTACGATTAGAGCAGGTGACTGAAGATGACATCCCAGGAGGCTTTTCACGGTGAGCCTGTGAGACCTTCTTTCCAACCAAGGAGGGTCAGGGCATGACCTTGACTGACAAGAAATCAGTGCTCTATGGAGCTAAATAATCACAAAATAAAGTTAAGATGAAGCAGGTGTCGGAGAGAGCAATGCAGTGAGCTACACCTAAGGACGGGCAGCCCCGGAAGTTGTCGCTATGGCCACATTGCATCTTGTAGGGCTGTCTTCTTCAGGGAAAACCTGCTGTCTCTGAGACATTCTCATGAACGTGGCTGAGGAAGCTGGAAGGAGAATGGACTCACAGGGTCCCCTGTGAGCCTTGGCGGGGGACCCCTCAGCACAGGGCAGCTGAGGCAAGGAAGAAAAAGTGTTTTCCTAGGGTTTTCTGTCTGCCAGTTTAGAGAAGAGAAATAACAGTGTGGGCTTTAATGTGCCATGCTCCCAAAGACTACATAGAAAATGGTGACTCCTCTGACAAGGACAGGAAAAGAGGAACTTGCTTTAGTGTTCGGAGAGAAATGTTGGTGGAAGCATTAGACACGGAGTGGGACTCAGCGCCAACCGTAAACTGTGACATTAAAATTTGGGGAGTCAGGAGCCCGACTTCCTTTCCACTCTAGGAATTCACTGAAAATTCTCCTACTCTCTCACGATCTTTCCCTCCTCCTTTTTTAGCACCCTCCCACTCCTCTCCCCCTTTCTCTCTTGTGTGTGTGTGTGTGTGTTGCTTTCTTTCTCCCACTGTACGTGTTCATAATTAAACTTGTCTTGGGCTGCCCCCATCGCACTGACTGTTCTGTTCCTGCCCACACCCCTGCCATCCTCCCCCTGCTTTGGGAAGGCGAGGAGGGCGAGTGAAGAATCATCCAAGAGTCGATTCTCTTTACTCTCAAATAAACGACATGGTTTTAGACCCCTCCCTGGTTTCTTCAGCTTAGTTTCCCCTGAAACATGTGTGCAAGTCAAATTCCATGTCGGGGCACTTCCAAGGTCCAAAAAACATCTGCCTAGAAGCCCCTGGGGACCTCGAGAGAGCTCCTTCGCACAGTTCCCAGCCCAGAGACATCCAGAATCTTGCTCCTGGAAAAAAATAAATAAATGTGGTCCTTCAGAGTCCTTCAGGTCCTTCAGGCAACCTTCCCTCTCTGTGTCTTAGAAATCAGTGAGACAGTGTTCCTTCCCTCTCTGTGTCTTAGAAATCAGTGAGACAGTGTTCCTTCTGTAGAAATCAATCAGTGAGACAGTGTCCCTTCTGGAAGAGGGAACCAGCAGTGTTCAACAGACCATACTACAGACCATATCTGACCCATCAATCGTGCTGATGGTGCGAGCAGAAAAGTCGGAACTGCTATTCTAAACCAGCCTAATACTGTGAAAACTCCAACCTAGTTGTGCAGGAAGAAACCAAGTAGATTTGAGAAAAGGGGCTGGACAGGAGTAGAGAGAAAGTGGGAGCCAGGAGAGCAAAGTCCTCGTGCCTAGAAGGATTCTGGGACAGAAGGACAAGAGGAGAAGAGGCCATGATTGGAAGTAAGAGACTTTGGCGCGTAGGCTGGACTGAAAAGGAAACAAGTAGAAGCTAGTGGTGACAGGAAGGTTTAATGGAGGTGCTGACTTGTTAGACTGGCCACTTTATCCTGCTACACAGACCTCTTTATCCTAAACCCTTTACAGTGGGAGACACTGAGGTGGGCTAAGGCCTGCGATGAAATGGGACAGCAATTACCTGTACTCAGACCTGTACTCTGACTGGGCCTTTGGAGCCAAAGTCCCTTCCTACAGAGAAAATGCAGAGATTAGGCTTACACCAGAAGAGGACCCAGGAGTGAGTGAGCCTTCTATTTCATGAGGTTCTCCCTACAGGCCTGCCGAGGGCACCCAGGAAGGTGAGGCCTCTGAGAGGGACACTCCAGCTTAGGGCTCAGCAGGCCTGTCAAAGCCCCGCTGTCCCTTGCCTGCAAAGCCTGAAGGCTGGCTAGGGAGGCTGTGTGGAGCCTACACGCCTGTCTTCAAGAGTCTCGTTGGGTCACAGCCAAGAAACAAGCCGTAGGAGCCCCAGGCATGCTCTAACTCTGTGAGTCAGTCTTTCCCCAGGGCAGCAGCCGGCTAAGATTTTCCCAGGGTGCTGTCCCACGCATGGAAGCCCGACCTTGATGATTTTCCCCTCCCACAGGTGCAGTCTGAGCTGCTTCCCCCAGGCCTGAAGGAAGACAGCAGCCAGCCGAGACTGCATGCAGAGGAAGAGCTTTTTGTGTATGTGCTGTGGCTTGGTACTGAGCAAACTTCAAGGGGGTGGGAATGTTTGTTAGCTACCACTTTCCAGCTAAGGCAATAGGTAAGTAATATAATTTGCCTAAGGTTGTGAGTAGCCAGGGAGTCTGTCTCCTCAGCAGTCAGATTCCCACATACGTACCAACAAAATGTCTGATAGCTCTCACTCTCTTGGCCTCCCCGATATATGAGTCTATAGCTCCAATCCATAATATCTGAGATACTAATTATTCAATAAATTATCAAATATATATATACATGTATATATATATATATTTGTATGTACACTATACTATATATATAGTGTACATTCTCAGGTAAGATTCTGTTGGAGGCTTGGTTGTTTGCTATCATATAAATGATAATCGTGGATTTATTACAGAAAACTAACTTCCATTTCAAATCTGGCACCTTGATTTTTGAAGAGAAGGCATGGGAGCAATTCGGAAATAATTTCAGTCATCTCTTGTTAAAAATGATACCCTGGCACTCATGCTTGGGTACAAGACCTGTGACACAGCATGTTGTTCTGGTCATAAACGGTGGAGGGCTACAGTGAGTCCACGTGGGAAGCTGTGATAAAGGGCTCGGAGTCACTGGAGCGCAGAGGCTGAGAGCTTAGGGCAGGCTCTCCCAGAAAGGCCAGCCTTAGCTTCATAGTGAGCTCCCACGCCAACACCCCCCAACACACACACACACACACACACACACACACACACACACACACAAATGGCAAAGGAGAAAGGAGGAGTGGAGAGAGAAAAAAGAGTGGGGGTATGATTTAAACTAGACTCCCCAAACTGCTGAGTGAAACGAAATACTTCCACACAGGTTACAGGTTTCTGAACAGAGATACTAATGGCCCAGACTCGATAGTAACTAGAAAATTATGGTCTAAAACACCGGCCCTTGTTGAACTTTTTCTGCCTTTGGCCCAATTTACTCCTTCTGCTATTTTATCTTCCTTTTAACTTCTTTTCTTTAGTTTTTTTGCTCTATGCAGCCCTTTCTGAGGTCCTCACTGTCTAGGCTAGATACCGTCTCTGATGGCTGTAGAGCATTCTAGAAAGAGACATCGGCACTCATCAATTTCTCCAGCTATTTGCGACTTGCCTGCCCTGCAGGGACGCTGGCCCAAGCGACATAGCGAGAGGACCATGAATGATGGATGAAGCAGCAGCTGTTACTTTGGTCTAAGCCAATCAGAACAGTTAAGACTAAAAGCATTTTAAAATTCACTGTGACTTAAAGAGGAAAAATATCTAGAAAGGCTGGAGATAGCTGGGTTCTGAGTCACTGGTTAAGGAGACTTGCCTGGCTTCCACTCACACAACTGTAAAAAGGAATCTCTGCTTTAAGTTACTGAGATTCGTTTCTTTGTTTGTTTGTTTTGTTCTGTTTGTTTGTTTGTTTTTTGTTACTTCTGTCTAGTCTAGGATAGCTCAACAAATAAGTTCCATTAGAATTCCCTTCTAGACATCTTTCAAGGAAATCAGCAACGAAACAGCAATGTAACTAACTTCTTAGATTGGAATTGTAGGCATCTGTAGAGAAAGACAGTTTCAGCAAACTCCTGAACGCTGCCAAGGTCAGGGCACTGTGCAGCACAGCAGCCTCCTCTGGCCTTACTGTGTGAACCTGAAAGTGACTCAGAGAAGGTGATCTAAAGATACTACTTCAGGCAAAAAGTCTCCAAAATCAGTTTCCACATATGGGGGGAGGAGCTCATTTTCTAAAACGGTTTTGAAATTTAGTCACAAGTGCGAGATGGTCAGGCCCACACTATCAATTCCCTTTCAAAGCACCTGCTTGGGTCAATTTAGGAACCTGCTGGAAAATAATTCTGGGCAACAACATGAAAATGGTGAGACTGTGTGCTGTGTGACGTCAGCTGAGATGGGACGCCTTCTGGGAAGACGTCCCCTGTTCCACAGAGGTGGTCCTTGCTTCGGGAGCCTCTCAGAAGGTTTCACAACTGGCCAGATGCTGCCATCACCGCATTAGAGAGGAGCTCAGTGAGACAGCAGGGACGGAGAATCGTCCCCCAGGTCCACACATACAATAGGCAGCCCCACAGCACGGCTCCTAAGAAAAGCAATAGAGCAAAGCACACATCCCTGGTGTGTCCTGAAGACACGCCTCTTCCCTCTAAGCCTACAACCTCTACCAGGGGAGACAGCCCTCTGCCACTTGCTGTCCCTCTGTCCCAGCCAGCTGATTCAGAAAAGGACTCTGAACGCTGGCAAACCCTGGGCCCGGAACCCACCTGATTAACACTCCAGATACAAGCCTCTTGGGTCCGGCAGCACATGCCAACCAAGTCCCAAACCAGTTTATTAGTTTAACCAAAAGGTAAACAGATGCTAGAGATGCAGAAAGACAAGCGTGCGAGCAGCTGGAAACAAGGGCCAGCTGTTCACTCAGGAGCAAAGTTAAACCAACTGAAGAGGCATTAAATAAAGGAGGCCATGTTTTATCCACTTGGAATTTCCATTGTCTTTTTTTTTAAAAAAGGTAAATATATATATATATATATATTTTTTTTTTTTTTTTACATTGCAGAATATAAATCTAGGCTCTACATATACAGTATAATTACACAGGGTGAGCACAGGGGCATAGCATGTATGTCTTGGGAGCCACACCCTAAACCAGGCCAACAGCTCTGCATTTTTGATCTTGACACTGAGAAAGCCAGGCTGAGGCTAGGTCTCCTTCAGTCTTTATGATGGCCGTGTGATCCTTGCCATCTCCCCTCCTTGCACAGAAGCTCCAACCAAACAAGGCTCACAAACAAAAGAAGAAAGTGCCTTCCAACTAGTTGAAACCCAGCTAGTCTCCACAGTCAAGTCCAGTCTCCTAGAAATACCCAGGGAATCTGGTGACTTTCTGGCCCTCTCTTTTGTCCATTTCCACAAATCTCTGAGCTTTTCCTGGTTTTTCTTGTTGAATTCACATGGCTATTTACATAACATAAGCCCCACACAACCTTTGGAAGCTGTAGTACAAGGTCAGAAAAAAAAAAGTTCCCTGTTACAATCTGGGTGTCATATTCTAGGTTCATTCTCTTTTATTTTTTGGAACAAAAACTGGTATTTGGAGAATTAAAAAAGGAGGGGAGGGGAGATGGACAACAATTTGAAAGCGCTTCTTACGTGTCAACTCCCCACATATGGCTTTTTCATTCAAATCCCAGCACAGCTCAGATCAGAAGCAAGAGTATGATGGTGTTTCTATGGACAAAAATGACCCTTAACAGGGATGCTAGGAGAGCAAACAGGGGTGGGGGGTGGGGGAGAGAAAGGAAGAGCATTACCGTTTCTATCCAGAAAGATGCACCTCTTTGAGAAAGGACTGAGACAGTATACACAGGCCCCTTTCCTTCCCCGTGACTTGGGCACAGGAATGCTACAAAAGGAAAGAAGGAAACCAGTCGCTATTATCAGCAGGGGACATTTTCTGAGGGGTTATTAACAGGGAGGTCACTGCACAGAGACCTTTCCCCGGCTTGAATGATCAAATGTCGTCAGTCGCAGTAGAAACACCTACACCTGAGGAACGAATTGCACATAGAGAGAGGTACAAGGCTCCAGATGGCAGAAGTCTCTGGACATACACTTTTACATGCAAAAGGCAATCAGAAAGGCAATGGAGTAGCGGCAGTCTGAGGCAGAGAAGAGTCCGAACGAGTCGCCAATCTTCTGCGCTTTCTCCTCTGGCTGAAAAGTTACGGAAGACCGAGGCTCCTTGTGCAGTAATGGCTGTGGTCTGTTCTTTACGAGAGGATGCAGAAACACAGCAGGGTTTCCAGAAATTGAAACAAGCTTGTGCCGACTCCAGAGGCACTGTGATGGGGACCAGCAAGGCACGCAGGCCTCTGAAGCTCGGGCAGATGCAGGCAGAGGGCCGAGACCACTGACTCATCCAAACCTTTCCATGGTGGTCTTTCATGCAGCCGTGGCCGCTCCGACCTCTGCGGTTTGTTCATCCGGTGGCACGTGACTGAGAAAGCAACCCTCTCCCTTTACAAAAATAGAGCTTTCGCTTATAATACTGGCTGAAGAGCACTCTGTACTGGAACGTCTGATTCTGCTTACACGGAAGGCATGAGACTAGGTCCTCAGTCTTTTCTATTTCCCTGTAAAAAGTGACCTCAACTTCCCAGGCCATTGTGCAAAAAAAAATTGGTTTTTTTTTTCATAGTCCAGAATATCCTGTAAAGTCCCTCTTATCTATCTATACACACACACACACATACACACATACACGCACGCACACACACAGATGTGTGTGTGTCTATATTTTACCCACACACGCACAGACACACAGATAGGTGTGTATATATACATATATATATTTTAAAATAGGGATCATTTTGAATTCTACTTTCAGGTCCAAGAACTTCAGTGAATCAATTATCCTTTTAATGTCAAATTCACTTCCACTCTTCCCACATGGTGCTTTGTACACATCTGAACTCAATAAATATCTGTTGGCGTCACCAAGGATCCTCAACCCCTGGTGCTGGCAGAAGTCACCACAGCCGCTCTCGGCCCCCTTCTGCCTTCGGCGGGTAGGGGGGTACCGTCCCTTTCAGAGGGTGATCTTGCTGTGCCTGTTACTCCAGCAGCCCCGCTTAGCTGTCCTGGGCAACGTCAGGCTGGTGCGACTGCGTGGCTTCACCCGCTCCTCCGCAGAGTTCTTTCTGCGTAAAATGAAATCGAAGTTCACTTGGCTGTTCATGGCATAAAAGACGTTTGCGGAGTCCGGGATCACCAGTTCTGGGAAAGACAAGGAAACGGCGGCAGGTCAGGCTGTGCGGGGCAGCTCATCACTGACTGGCGCAAGGCAAGGCCTGGGTGGACCTTCTGCTTCCTGACTATAATCTGAACCAGGCAAGGCGGACACCTTCTCGTGTGTGATACCCAAATCTTAATCCCTACCGGAAGCTGAGCACAAAGTGTCAGACTTCCTCCCGTGGACTGACTGGTCAGAGGTAGAATGTTAAAGCTTGAAGAAAGCCTGGAGGGAGGGGCACCAAGAGGACAGTCCCAGGACCACAGAGCTGGAACGAGAACCCGGGCTTCCCAGCTCCTGCTAGCCTCCTGCCATCTGAGTGCACACATGGGCTCCCATGGTCTAAAGATGTCCAATGATCTAAACAAGACCTACGGCATTTTCCAGACATCTTTACTTGGATTCAGTTAAGATATTTTTGACATAATTCTGAGTCAACCCTATGATTTATTCCTTTTGAGTCACTACTTTTCCCAGAGTTTGCCTCTCAACACTTAAACAGTATCTATCTATGACAGTGTGTGCCTAGGTCACTAATTTTTAAGCTATATTCAACTTCAGTGACGCCCAACTAAACACCTGCAATTTATAAACAAGCATTGCTGTTACCAGCGGGAAATCAAATTGTGTCAAAGCAAAGTTGTTTTATTTTCTGCACATCTGCATGAAGTAAGCTTCTGGTGAATTCTTCACACTGGGCCCTCACAGCTAGCCCAAGATGGTCAGGCTCTCTAAGACCGGCACATGAAGTCCAAGTGTGCCATCAGGGCTAACACCCGGAGTGTCTCCTCACTCCTGCTCAGCTGCCGAGGGGCCACAATAACACTACTCCCATCTGCAGAGCACGCAGCATTTCTGCAAAGCTCTCTCCGGTACGTTATTCAGACTGATTGCATAATTGCCCTGTGTGTGCATGTTGGTGGGGGGGGGGGTTGTCGAGACCACTCAGCTGCTGGGCACAGCTGGGCCCAGCTTCCACTCTTTGAGCCACTGGATCTTCAGATCCACTTGCTCCCTGTGCACTGGTCTGTAGGCCACATGTTAGAATCCAACAGCACACTTTTTAGATTTATAATTTTAACTGCAACTGAATTTAAATATTATAACTGAGCGTCAGGAGATGGCACCACCTGGCTTTATAGGCATAAGAACCTGAGTTTAATTCCCAGAACCTACAATTAAAAAAAAAAAAATGCTGTATTTGGGGCTGGAAGATGGCTTAAAGAACATCGGCTGCTTTTCCAGAGGACCTGGGTTCAATTCCCAGCACCTATAACTATCTGTAAGTCTAGTTCCAAAATTAAAAAACAAAACAAACAGAAACAACAACAAAACCTACAACTCTGAAATTCTGACATGAGTGCTTCCGGGTCACCAAGGACTAGCAATCACAATGTCAAATAAAAGGTGTGTGTGACCCCCTGCCCAAACACCAAAAGGTTCTGTCTGCTTCCCACTCCTGATACACAGACTGCTCATAAAAACGTACTTCTCGTGGGGAGCACAAACAATTGGTGAGAGGAATTATATAGAAAAGCCTAGAAACAACAACAAACAAGAGTTAGGGGCTGGGGAGCAGCTTCAGACACTGATTCTAAAATAGGGGGATGTATTGCTTGTTGCGCGTGCATGTTTAAAAACCGCCACCAGGGGGCGTGAGAGGTGGCTCAATGGATAAAAGCAAGCATGCACGCCCCCCCTGTCGGGGGAAGGGACGGGAAGATTGCTTGGGTTTGCTGGCCAGCAGCCTTGCTCCAGCACACACTCACAAACACCTGCACACTCACACAGATATGTGCATATGTCCCCCAGCCCCACACAACTAGGATCCAAAATGTGCATGCTGCTGGCACCTGGCCCACAAGGAGAACATGCCCACCTTTGTCCTCTGAGATGACCTGAACCAGCTCGTACTCCTCGGCTGGGTCGGAGTCCAGATTGTGCTTCATCATCGCTCTCTGGATCACAGCAGGAGTCTTATCTTGGCTTGTCAACTGCAAAGACAACAGATGGGTTCTGGGACAGACTTGGCGTGTGTTTCCCAAGCTTTGTGGTCTTGTGTGGTGCATACTTCTCAAAGAAGGGCGGAGTGGGTGGCGTAAGGACCAGACAAGAACCAGGACTCCTGAGTGTTTGTGCTGTTTCTGTCTGAGTAGCCAAAAGATGGCAGGTGGTGATCACAGTGCCTCCCCCACACTAAAACAGGAAAAAGACACATTGCCTATGGCAATTGCCTACACTAATTCAGTTCCCAATAAGAGAATATACATGAGGAAGCTATGAAAAATGTAAGGAATTATGAGTCCTGGGCCAGTGTGATCTAGACGTATCAGGGTAATGCTATGACACTAGTTGACAACCAATAGGAAGAAATGGCTTCAAGTCTGTCCACTGGCCAGTTCTGAAAAAGTGCAAGAGACTCTATGACCCAGCAAACCACTTGTTAAAGGAAATGAAAACCCGTGTCCACAAAAGGACTTCTGAGCCAGTAAAGGAGAGCTGACACCTGCGACAACAGAGATGAATCTCACAAATATGCTGAGTAAAAGAAACCAGATATAAAGGATGGCATAAAACATAAAAGCCTGCGTCTCTGAGAAAACTAGCCTCAAGGTCAAAGGGCACTGATTGGCAGATCGGCGGGAGTTTCCGGTTGTGGTTTCATTCAATTTGAGGTGGTGGACAGACAGATACAAAGACTTTTAAAACTCAAACAACTGGGCACTAAGCCCTGTAACTGTACGTAAGCCACAGGCCAATAAAAATCCGTTTCTAATCAGAGCACAAAGGATCTGGTCATGCCCAAGCCTTGTTTCCTTTCTCCCAGCCTGCTAGTTGATTTTGAGCTCAGGTGGCGTGAAAGACAGCCATCTACAAGCCATATCTTGAGGGACAGATAGCTTTAAAGACTAAAGAAGTGAATGAAAACCCAGATTGTTCTCACCAAGAGGTGAGAAAACGTGCTTTCTGGGGCTTTGTGTGCAAGCACGCGCGCGCGCGCGCGCACACACACACACACAGCCTGATTTCCTCCAGGGCCTAGGTGCCTCCCTCTGACCTGGGCAGCAAATGGTGTTTATGATTCAATAAACAGCAATAAGGGCCCTGTGAAGTTGCCTATCACCAAAAGATCTGGCTTATATACTTACAAGGAAAGGATTGGTACACACAGAATTTTAAAGGAGGAAAAAAATAGATTTTTTATAATATAAAGGAAATTACCCCCAAACAGAATCAAAGTAGACTGGTAGAGTAATGGTATCAAGGAAGGACACTTATGGGATAAACATGAGGCTGAGAGAGAGAGAGAGACGTGGTTTCAGCTTAGAAATCAAGGCTTCCTATTTAGAGTGAGGGCTTCCCTCGGATGTTTGGTATTCTGGAGTATAAAAGCCACACAGAAGAACTAATAGTTAGAACTAGTATCAACAGCAGAGAAAGCTCCAGGCTTCACTCTGCAATAGAAAGGGTCCCAGGAGGGAACAGCGAAGGGGACCATTCTCCCAAAGGCAGTCCCTATCCCAAGGACGGAATACTCTGGGGAGTCATCTCATTTTTATCCTCCCAACACACTGCGGGACAGCGCATTCGATCTGAGATTCCCCCAGATGAACTGTTTTCCTCTGACAGCAGAGCCCACCGCCATGGGCATGGCACACAGCGTACGTGCTGGGTGCCTGACTCTGTCCTGTGATTCTGAGACCCCGTGGTCATGTCGGTGGCCACTGCTGTCCGGCTGGCATATGTAACAGAAGCACCGGAGTAGACGGTGCCAAAACCACAACTACTGCTGACAACCTGGGTGTTTTTGCCAGCTATTCCTTTACGACTGGCTGATCATCCCACCCCCATTCCCAGCCCACGGGGCTGAAGGCCGTGCACTATTGGACTCCAACACCAGCCCCGTGGCACGTGTGTTTCTGGCAATCTATTAAACAATGTCATTTGGATGTCCCAACTTACAGACCCGGAAGCCTCCTCCAGTCATTCATATCTCATTGGACAGTCACAGCCACCAGGCCACCAGATGGCCCCTAATCCTCCCTCTTCCTTAGGAATCCTCCCTCTTCTGTGCCCTCCCAACAGTTACCCAAAGGCTGATAACAGGATGAATGGCTTTTATAGTAATACCTCATAAGATGCTTTGCCTATCATCTCCAGCCACAGGATCATCATTCAAGCTCTTATCATCCTTTGCATGAAAGAGCAGCTTCCTAGCTTTCTTCTCACTAGCAGTGCGCCCTCCCACCGCTGGCAGCAGGCCTCCACAAGACAGCTACTCTTCTAATAAGAAGCTACTCTTCTACCTGAGACCTGACTGCCTGTAGAATTAACACAAAGTCCCCTGGGAGGCTATCGGATCATTTCCACTCTGGTCTGGCTTCCATTAGCATATCACCACACTAGATTATAAAGATATGCTATATATATGTAGATTATACATAATCTCTCTTCTACTATAATTTCTTCAACCATCAATGAGTTTTATTCATTCTCCTAGTCTCAAAGCCCAGGAAAAATAACTAGTAACAACGCATGCTCAATAATTACTGTATTCGTTGAATGTCTCAACAAAGGTTTGTTTGTTTGTCTATTTGTTTTTTCTGGAATGTTAAAGACAATGCCTTCTCACTACTTATGGCACGCCCAGGCCTCAGCTTGGAGGCAAATGATGACAGTGAAGGCAGACGTGAAATTTACTGTAGATTTGGCTATAGAAAAGATTTAGTAAGTGCAGGCTAGGCCCTGTAGACTAAGGAATTTAGTCATCTCCCACAAGACCTCACATGGTCAAGGTTATCACCGTGAGAGACCTTGTATCTACTCCAGAAGAACTACCATCATTTAAAGTAGCTTTGGAGTTTTCCTACTCTAATGTAGGAAAGAAGGAAAGAAAGAAAGAAAGAAAGAAAGAAAGAAAGAAAGAAAGAAAGAAAGAAAGAAAGAAAGAAAGGAAGGAAGGAAGGAAGGAAGGAAGGAAGGAAGGAAGGAAGGAAGGAAACATATAAGACTCAGTCCCATTTACTTACTAAGCATAGTTAACTTACTGACCCAAACTGCACTTCTGTGGTATTCATCTACTTCAGGAGCTAGGCTTGGTCCAAATGGCCAAAGGAGGAAACTTAGTCACCAAGGGCTACGCTACTGAAAAGGCATGTTAGTTTAGTCATCAGCCCAACATAGGAAGAGTTCCAAGGAAGGGCGTGAATCAATGGCATCCTCCCTGGACTACTGTCCCATAGTCACCCGCACTGAGCATCACGAAACGCACACCAACCTGGATGAACAGTCTAAACAAGTCTTAGGATGGCAAACCTTACTACGTCTGCGCCATCAGATAAACATACGGTTGATCTGCGACTGGGAGGAAGTTGCTATTTTTCATGCTGGTTTTGTGTGCACGCACAGACAAGTGTGTGCGGTCAGGGTGTCGGTTTGTGCACTGACTGACAGGGGCGTGCGTGGGCGTCCCTTACCATGATGCTCTTGTACATGTTCCCGTTGTTGTCTTCCACACTGATGCGGACGATGCAGGTGTCTTCATTCTGCTGATTGTAAGCGGGAGGCAGTGCTGTGGAGGTGATGGAGGTCACGGAGACGGAGCGCTTGTGGATCTTCGGGTTGTTGGTGCAGGTGGGAGGGGACGACAAGGGGTGGATTAGGGACGACATCCCTGAGGAGTTCGTGTCCATGGAATGAATCGAGGAACATGAGGAGGAGGACTCAGAGAGCTGAAAAAGTTAACGACCCCCCCCAAAGAAAATAGAACCATTAGAACCTGGACCAGGCATGCCTTGAAATTTCAAAACACAAGTAGATACGGAGACTTAGCAACTTTGGTTGATCACATGAGCCCACGGTCTGTAAGGGAGGTTCCTCCTCAATATCTCATGGGTCTCCTCTCTTGTCTCTCTCACCCTCTCCCTCTCTCTCTCTCTTCCTGACACACAGACCATGGGCTCATGTGACCGTGATTCAGTGGGAGTTAATCACTCTAAAACCAGGAATGGCACAGTGGTTCTTTGACTTCCTGTTTTTAGTTGTCCATATGAAAGTCAACCAGGAGATGGCAGCAGATACCAGATTATACAGGCCATGTGGGCTGGGGAAGTCACTTCACAGATTCCTGGAAGCCTTCCTTACAAGAGCTTACTAATTCTCACCACTAAGGCTACGGAGAACATTCCGTCCTGACTACTTCACATCCAGATTTTGTAGGAGGAGATAAATGTGCTTAAAAGCTTTTAAGATAAGGAACACAGCTTATGTAGTTCTGCTGGGATGGCCTTAGAGGTCACCTGACCCCTTTGCCAACAGAGAGGCCTGAGGCCCAGATAGAGGTTCACCCAGCCAGCCTCACTTCTACCAGCAGCATTCCATGCCCCCTTTGCCATGGTGTCCACCCAGCAAGCACACAGCAATGGGCAGCATTCATCAAATTGTGTTTCGATGAGTTAGCTAATGTCCTTGATACGTTTGGTACTGTAGACTGATCATGACCTTTCATTTATCTTTCTCACTTAGATCTCAGAACTGTCTTACGGGGAGGGGGTGTGTACAAAAACTGCATCATATCACAATTCAGCGAAATCAAGTCACTTGCCTAAAAGTGTACACGGCCTTTGAGTAGCTCTAACAACTTTTCACATTTGCCGGTAGGACCAGCAACATTCACTTTCATGGTCTACGCCAAGGTCATTTGAGAGATGTGTGGGCTGCAGTTAATGTGCGTCTCTGAGTATCAAATATTTAAGATGCATCCAATATTAGTTAGCAGACAAAGAGATGCTTAAAACTCACCAGGATGTATTCCCGACACAAAACTATTAAATCAAACTGTTCAAATGCCAATATTTATAGAAAATTGTGTATGTATAAAATATTTGGAATGAGTCTAGCTGAATTATAATAGTCCTCTAAAATATTCTAGAATAGAGTATTCTAGAAGTCATTAAAACTCAATATTAAATTCTTCTATATGTATCTGCCCTTCTACAGAAACAGATTAAGAAACTTGGTTTTCTGACAATGTGGCTTCTAAAAAGTAGGGACCATATTATCTTTAACTTCTTGGGGGCTGCTTCTTCCTATGGCATTCTTGTTAGAGACAGCTCTACAGCATGAGTGTCCTATTAGAGTCAGCAAGCTGCAATGCCAATTCCGATATGCAGTATCTACAGTGGACTATCATAAGATAGCTTAGCTACATGTTGCTGTTGTTTGGAATTTTTCTTTCTGTTCCCAAGTGACTCAACTTGAGCACTTACTCAGAATGGATCATTTTACTAGCATAATTTTGCTTGTAAGTATATTAGCCAAGTAGATCCGTTTTCCAAACATTGGTTGAGTTTTTTCATTTTTACCTTCCCTTTTCCCTTGGACTTTCTACGATTCTAGCAACATTTACAGTTGAGATGATAAAGCTTTAAGGATGTTGAGGTTACATGAGTTACAAAGAGAATATCTGATGGGCTCCCACATTCCTGGGAAGAATTTGAGTGGTAAGGAGAGGGCACAAGAACAAATGTTTATAAATGATTATAAGGAGCACAAAGAAAGAGGAATGCAAATTACACTTTACTTTTAAAGAAAACAACCTCTCAGGGAAGAGAGAGACCACGTGGAGTCTGCCAGAGGGGACTTCATCCCAGAACCCCAGGTTAGGACTGTGGAAGACATCCGGGCCCAGGTAGGTGCCCTGCACAGCTGTGGGATTTCCTGGGTGACGCACAAGGATTTTGCCACTTGGAAACTACATGCACCCATGTCACACAGTCGTCTTTAAGTCTGTGGAAACTGGCTCTGGGAAACATTCATCTGGAGATAGATAAACACAGCCTATGAAAGAGACGACTCACACAAGAAACATAGAGTTGTGGAAACAGCAGCATCTGCATGGTTTCAAAGACACTGTGTGTGTGTGTCTGGGCGCGCTGCTGGGGACGGAAGCCAAGGCTTTGTTCACACGAGGGATGCACCCTACCGCTGAGCTACATCCGCAGCCCTGACCTTCATGCTTGCAGAAGGATAGTGTGGGCTTGTTCCACCTTCGTGCCAACAGGTTGGGTGATTCCCTCTCCTTCCTGGGCAGGGATGGAAATCCCTCAGAGATGTGTGGGTGGCACGGCCATGGTCACTTTCCTACGACATCTACCAGGGAGTCCGGGACCCATCCAACATTAGACCCGAAAAACTGAATGAGTGAGACCTCACTCTAGATTTTTAAAAATGTGTGTGTGTGTGTGTGTGTGTGTGTGTGTGTGTGTGTGACAGAGAGAGAGAGAGAGAGAGAGAGAGAGAGATGTATATGTGTAGATGCATGTGTGTGTTTATGTGTGTGAGTGCAGGTGTGTGCCCCTGTGTGTTTATGTGTGAGTGCAGGTATGCTCATGCCAGGGCACATGTGCAGAGGTGAGAGAACAAGCTCAGGTGTCAGTTGGTCTTGCCTTTCGCCTTGTCTGAGAGAAGCTGTTGACCATTCTGTCCACGCACCAAGCTGGCTGACCTGCAAACTTCTGAGGGGCTGTCTCTGCCTCCCCGCTTGCTGTGTAGCGCTGGGATTCTAAGGGCACACGTGTGTCTGGCTTTGTGTGCTGTCGTGGATCTGAACTCGGCCCCCACATTTGTGGGACAAGTGCTTTACCACTGAGCCATCTCCCTTGCCCCTTCACCCTAGATTTTGATCCAACTGATGTCAAGTCATGGAGTATGTCAAGAGTCCTGGTTCAGGAAACATGATTTTGGGGGACAATGGCCAGATGTTAGCTGTCTGTGGGCTTTTTCTTCAACATATGAAACATGAAGGATTGTATCTGCTCAATTAGCGGCAAAAAGGGGAGGACTCTAACAGCAGCTGAGTCGACTCTAACAGCAGCTGAGTCACCTCTACCAGGTGAATCCGAAAGTGAATCTCTTGGATTGGCGACTCTGTGACGAAACCGCTTGAGGGATCTCAGAGGGATGTTCTTCCTGGTGACCGCTATGGAAAGCCGTACCCCTCCACAGGGAAGCAGATATAAAGAAAGCGAGAGGTCTGTCACCTCTATTCTTCCTCATTGGTGTGAGTCCAAACTAAGAGGCCAGAAGCTATGACAGAGCAAATTCGGTGGCCAAAAACCCTCCCCAAAATGCTGTGGGTTCTAGTCACAGCAGAGCTGACCTCTCTGAGCCAAGCTCCTTGACCAGAAAGTAGACTAACATAGACATTTTCTCTTGTTGTTTTGTGCAGTTGTGAAAAAAAAAATGGACTGTACGAGGACCCCTTTAGCTGTGCTTACAGCTTGCATCTATTTCTGCTGTGCTAGACTGTATCATCATTATCAGCGCCTCGCCCTGCTGCAGACTGTGCCCTTTGCCCTATGATTTGTTCCGTGGTTCCTCCCACTGATGGTGGATCATATCTCCTGCTTCAGTTATTTATGTTGGCTTGGACCACATGGCTGCTTTAAGCAATGGAATGTTGGTAGGTATGACCAAGGAAAGGCTCTCCCTGTGTGCTTATAGGGTGGGGCTTCTTCCCCTCTTCTTCATATATTTCGGCATGCCAAGAGGATGTTCTGGAAAGCCCATTACTCCAAATAAATGGCTGACAAGCGAAGCAGGCTTGGGTTAAACCTGTGGTGCACAGCCAAGCCCAAAGCAGCCAGTCCCCAAGAAACATGGTGATTGTCCTAAGTCACTGAGTTTTAGAGTGCTTTCCTGTGCGATGTGAGTGTGGTACAAGCGTGGCTAAGACAGCACATGGCACCAAAAGTTGGCATATCTCCATTATGTTTTAGTCTATCTCAAGCAATCCTGATTCGCTTGAATAAGGTATTATTTTATGGGCCATAATCCTTTGGTGCACTGTGATATGGGCATAAAAATGTTTTGAGGGACAAATGAACAAGTCATTTGTTAGTACCTCCTTAGTACTTTGTAGCTGTTTCTCCAAGGAATGGTTCCCCAGAAGGAACTGTTTCGGACACCTTCTGGAGAACCTGGGAACAGGCCTTCTTCACATGGCAAACAGCACATTGGAGGCTGCAACAGGAATGAGACCTGTGGAAAGGGTTAGCATGTACCTTCTTCTGAGGTTCATCGGGTGTGTCCATGGGCGTGATGGAACCCTCCTCAGCCTCTGAGTGGTTTGACTCACAGGACGACACACTGACTGAGTCCATACTCTCACCAGAGCTCCCACTGGCCGTAGACTTGGGCTGATCTTTGGTGGGAGTGCTCCCAGTGATGAAGTCAGACCCCAGAAACAGTCTGCAGAAAACAGAATGCCAAACATCCGGGCTGATACAAACCTAGACTCCATCACTGAGCGAATAACACGCGCTGGCTGATGAAGCCCTCAATGTTTTCTCAGTAGTATATGTGTTGTTGTGAATAGTTTTTAAAAAATGCTATAATGTTGCTAACAAATGGTAGTGACTGTCTTGTCCCAGTAGATGATGGCTGATGGCAACCTCAAATGACATACGGTTGTCTAAATGATGTAGCCCTCCTAAGTCCCTGGTGCTCTTTCTTTTAGTAGTCAATGGACCGAGGTGGCAGGGTCAGAATATCAGCATATTATTACGGCTTCCTACTCTAAAAAGAACTTTGAACTTCCTGCAGCTGGAAAAGGTGGGTGAGCGCTGGATAAGAAACCAAAGAACACTTCTGCTTCCAGCCATCTGGCAAACTACAATAACCCAAACCCCTTCTCCATAAAATAACTGGGTAAGAAATATTAAAAACCCTTTTCAGCTGAGATGGCAAGATATAAGGGCGATCCCTCCAGCCCCCGCATGAAAAGAGAACTGAAAATCGGAAGCTCGGGTGCTATTTCTGCAGCTGCTCTGGTTGGGAAATGGGAGGTATGAGTGTTGGCAAAACAGTCATTGTTCTTTTTTTTAAAAAAAAAATTGTTACAACACTTCAATTATACATAATAAGGTAGTTCTGCTTGATATTTCCATGTATGTATAGAGAATGAACTGACCATGGATTTAACTCAGACGCACTACTGTGAAACAAGGGTTCTGCTCACTAGAGAAAGGTTGCTAGGGCCTAACCTCATATAGAAAGCCAGGCACTCACAGATATGCTGGAAAAGCATCTTCCCATGGGCACAGGAGACAACAGGGAAGCCTGTCTGTCCCGGCCTGAATGTGTACAGAAGGAATAATGTCTCCAGGCTTGTATGATCCTGGCCTGCGCTTCATTCTGACTTGCTACCTATGGGGCCCACACGTTAGGAAGTCATGGGTCACCATTGAGAATAATGGATAGAATGAAGTAAGGGAGGTAGGGAGGGAGGGGGTAGCAAAAGAGGAGTGAATGAAGGAATGAGTGGATGAATTTGTCTTTCAGGAAGGCTATACACCTTTTACCCAAGCTGCAGAGAACAATTTCTTTCTAAAGTTGAGCTCACAACACAGAATTACAAAATATCCGAAAAGAACCAATCCACTCAAAGAGCATTAACAGTCAGAATGGGCAAGAGACACCAACTCCTGAGAACTTCTGACATGGGAACAATCAGAAAGAAAGTAGTCATCCACCCAGTTGATAAATAGTCACATATCCACCACAGGCCAAGTTTTATAAATATTTTTTAAAACATTAAAGACATGAAAAAATCAAATCTGTACAGATCAAGGCACTCTAACAAAAAGAGAGTTGGAAAATGCACGTAAGCACGTGTAAGTGAAATCATAGAAATTAAATACAGGAGGATTAAATAAGCATTAAAGAAAAAAAATCATGAGTAGATCTGGAAAAAAAAAAATCCTTGGAAATTGGCACCATGAAATAAAGATGAGGAAACAGAGGCTAGAGGATACAGTGAAGACAAGAAAGTCCTGCAGAAGACAATGAGCCTGGGGAAAGGAACACAGGCAGACTCAGTGTTGAGAAGATTCCAGAACTGCTCAGGCACACAAGTCACTGACCCAGGAAGCCTTAGAGCCTCACAGTGAATGATATCCAAGACCCCTGGTGGGGCTGGGGAGTATCAAGGGGACAGCTTTAGCTACTTGACCAGGAAAACTGGCTGATGTTCCCTAAGGCTTATTCTTGATTGCCCCTGGTCAATGCAGGAAACCTAGTCCAAAGGTCAGACTCAAGTTTATAAATTAAGGGTTCTATATAAGAGGAAAGTTCCCTTGAATTAACAACCCCCTTCTCTGATTCCTCAAAGTCTAAAGATCAACTTTATGGAGCAGAAGATCCTATCAAGCTCCTACAGAAACTGGTACAGTCAAAGCCCGGAGTCTAAAAGACATTTTTTTTTTCATTCCCTTTCTCCCCTCCTTTGGTTCTTCCTCCTCTCCCATCTTTCTTCCCTTTAAAATGTAACTTCATAGGTCACCGTATGGTAAAGCTTCTGTAAACTTAACTCTGAGTCGAATATTAGGTGTACATTCTGGTCCTACCATTATAAGCACATCATCCGCCTTTTCCCTCCTTCGGTCTCCTGGGCTATGTGATTGGAGCTAATTATAGAAACTGTTTCCTAGACCATGTTGTAGAGTTTCTAAACACATGTATTGAATTTTTTTTTTTTTTTAATGGTTGTGAGCCACCCTGTGGTCACTGGGAATTGAACTCATGACCTCTGGAAGAACAGCCAGTGCACTTAACCTCTGAGCCAACTCTCCAGCCCCACATGTGTTGTTCTTATAACAGCCCTAGCTTCTGCCTCAATTTACTCATTCTAAACACAGTCACTATCACTGTGGTGGTAGGGCAGCATTTAGATTCTGTGAACAGAGCAACAACTAAAAGCAAGGCTTACTTTCACGGAGCTTAAACTCTATACAGACACACACAATATATAGTATGTTGGAAGAAGTTAAATGTGATGGAAAAAAACAAAGGCTGGAGACAACCAAGGGAGGGGGCCAAGGACATGTAAGGGGAAAGGCTGTAGTAGCCAGCAAGCCAGGTGTTCAACACCTGAAGGAAGTAAGAAAGTGAGCCAGATGGCTCTTTGGGAGAAGAGTTAGCAGAACAAAGGCAACTAAAAATGACTGCCTGGTGGCTGGAGAGCAAAGAGGGTGGAGTGAACAGAGGACAGACAGATGGAGATGGGCTGGCAGGGCGGTGCTGATGCTGCGGGGCGATGGAAGCCTGTGGGCAGTCTAAGGTCCTGGATTCTATCCAAAGGGAGTGAGGTCTCACAAAGCTAACCACAGAGGGCCTCGTCATTACCATACACGATGGACAGTGCTTCTGTTATAACGCTGCTCACTCTAAACTGTGAAAAACGGCCAGCATGAATGAGAATGACCAGAGGAGGAAGCACCATCGGAAGATCTGTCTTAGGAGACAACATTCCTGCCACCATCAGAGGAAGCTATCCGGGACAAAAGACCCTTTCTAGCCATAGGAAGGGCTAGTGAGAAGACCCGAGCCGGCAAATGCCTGTGTGTTTAATGCAAGGGTGGCTGGAAGGTTGGTGCAGTGGATCTTGGGGAACCAAGGCACATGTTGTAAGAGAGGGAAGGTTGGGAGTGGATCCCACAAGGCCTAGAGTTGAGACTAGAGAACTCTAGAGTTGAGACTTCATTTCAATATAAAAACATTGGGTGTTTTTAAAAAAGGACAAAATCTATTGTTCAAAGGACCACTAGGCCGTTTAGTAGAGAATACATTGTCAGGGCGAGAGGAGAGCCAGATGACTGCAAAACTGCTGCTGAAGTGTCCAGGTGGGAGTGACATTGGTGCATCCCGGGGAGAGAGGATCTCATGAGCCTTTTGTTACATTTTGTTCATGACAGAAGATATATCCTTTAAGTGAGCATTCATGCTGCTGAATATATTCCTCTACCCTCTCTGACAGGGCCCTCTCAGGGCCAGGAGCCAGGGGAGGGGGACAGGGGTAGGGTACGGGACTCACAGGCTCAGCCTCTTCACCATGCTCTTCCGGGGTTTGGGGGACGTGGTGCTGGCATCAGCAGCGGCTTCAACCTCACATGAGAGGGCATAGCTGAGAAAGACAGGGAGGTTTGAGGTCAATGTTTAAGCACAGAAGAAGATTCCTAACTCCCATGACTTATTGGAATATTGAATTTAGTGGAACCCTCTGATTACTCAAAGTACAACTATAGACTGTGGTGTCCCACAGCGAATGTCAGAGGGTGTTTGCTCACGGACACATTTGATAAGTTTACATTGTATGCCTACTTTCACTGACAGACGGACAGAGCCTATTCAGTTCTGCAGGCTCCAACACAAGGGCATGTGACAATAACGGCAGCAGAAGCTGGCAGCAGCCTGACCCTTGATCATCCTCATCCCACCACAAGGCCTGGGGAAGAAACGTCCTCCCTCTGTGAGCTGCACCACCATTTCTTTTCTGCCTTCTTCTTCCAATGCATTTGTGTCTAAGTGCACATGTACATATTTTTATGTTAGGAAAACTAAAGAAGGCGTTTTTGCAAAGTATCTAACCTTTGGTGTATAGATATACGCAATTATATTATTTATGAAGATATATAAATACAATTATAAACATTATCTTCTATTGTGGTTGTTCTTGTTGTCTTTCAAGATAGGGTTTCTCTGAGTGGCCTTGGCTGTCCTGGACTCCCTTTGTAGATCAGGCTGGCCTTGAACTCATAGAGATTCTCCTGCCTCTGCCCCCCTGAGAGCTGGGATTAGGCATGCACCACTGCCCCCAGCTACAAACATTATCTTAAACTGCCCAAACCTGCTCAATTAAAAACACCCAGGCTTCAGATAGTGATTAGCCAGGCAAGTGGTAACTGATGCAGGCATAAGAGGAGGTTCTGGCCTGAAGTGATTCTTGTGAAAGCCTGCAGCTGCTGCTAGCGCAGGTACTTTGTGAATAGGTAAGGTGAGTCATGATGCCCATCACTGTACGGCCTCAAAGCTGAGGGGGCAATCAGGTGGACATGTCATAACCAGTAACAGTACACCTTCAAAGCCCCCAAGTCCTCACTGGCAAATACTGATTTTGCTGTCGGTTTCATTCTTCCTTATAATAAATCTACAAAGAAAATCTCAGGTCTACCTTAGAGACCAGCAGACTTTCTCTGATTCAGACAAGACGGTAACTATTTCAGGCCATGGGCCATATGGTCTATCTTGAAGGCAGGAGGACAACCATAGATAGGATGTAAATGAGTAGGCTGTATTCCACTAAAGCATTATTTATGGATCCTGAAATCTGAATTTCAAATAACTAATTTTCATGCCATATTCTTCTTCCTTTATTTTTTTTTTTTTCCTTCTGCCACTTAAAATGTGAAAACAGGCAGCGGGCCACATACAGCCTCCAGACTAATTGGACAGAGACCAGGCTAGAGGAAAGGTCTGTGCCCACTGCACAAAGCACTCAGAGCACAGAGTCAACGTGCCTTTCCGTGCATCCCAGCCAATGTTTTGAAACCTGCGCCCTGGGCCCCACCCACACTAGAGGCATCATTGCCCTCCAAACACCAAGGCTGTCAGGACACCATGCTCATGTTCCTATCCTGCTCTGGAATGTTCTTCTCTAGCTCTTCTGGTGAGATCTCTCTCCAGAGCCCAGCCTGCTTGGTAATTTCTGTAAATCTTCCCCATCACTCCTTGGCCAATGAACTGCTCCTGCCCACAGGTTCCACAGTACTTTAGTTTCTCTCGTCTTCGATTTCTCATGAGTTCCTCTTTTTCTTCTTCTCCTCCCCCCCGCCCCCCGCAACCTCTCTCCCTGGAAGCTAGCACCGTGGACTCTGTGACAATGGCAGTGGTGATAGTGTTCACGATTAGCAGTCTAATAGTGCTTTTCAGAATATGCTTTTTATGCTTTCAAACAAATATTTTACAAACAGGCCTTCTGAAGATGGGAGAAAAAGAAAAAATAAAAGACTTGTTCAAAGTTTCAAAGGTAAGTGTCTGGGCAAGATCTACAAGCCCACCCGCTAGTCCTGTCCGGTCAGTTCCTCCAGACAACCAAGGACTGGACTAAGCAGATGGCCCAGAAAGGTCCTGGCCACCCCATGCCTCCCTGCCGGTACAGCCCCGCCCACCTCTCCTCCTCTGTTAGAAGCTGTTGCCGCTGGAACCACTGGATGAACTTCTGGTCTGGGCTCATGCAGTAGCTGTTGCAAGCAGACTGCAGGAGCTTTATCTGAGCAATCACTTCAAATTCCTAGAGTAGACGGAAAACCAAAGAGAGACTGACTAAGAAGATGAAACAAATATAAGTCTTTCAACATGGAAATGTAATACCCTAATGGGTAAACTATGGAGAAAACCACTGAAGAGGACTCTGAAATTCTGCTGCCTTAGAAAGTAAATGAGTAAATCTTAAAAGTTCTAACTCAGGGGTGGGAATGTAGTTCAGTGGTATAGTACATGCCTGGCATACATAAAAATTAATTTTAAAATACACATATATATCACTTTGAACTCCTTAAGCCCTTGCATGCTTCAATTCTTAATCCTCTTTTCTCCTTAAGAGAGAATTCATATGAATAAAACAAGCCATCCAAGGAAGCCAGCTAGTCACCAATTCATAATGGTGCCTTTTCCTTCCTGTTTCTATTCTTGGGAATTTTTTTTTTCTTTTAAGTATAAGGTTGATAAAATACATGTATTTTTTATTTCTATTTCTTTTTTAAAAAAGAAAGGAGAAATGTTTCAAGTCATGAAGCTTAACAGCTCGCCATCCACAACTTTTCCAACAATTTCTCCTCAATAAATACGCACTGGTGGGGCTGACCATTTAAACAGTCCAGGGTCCCATAAAGCTGAATGTTTGGGTCTTCCAAATCCTTGGGATTTTTACTACTCTAGTAAATCATCTAACTAAATCTTGTAAAGCTCACCAGAGAAGCAAGTACATAATTATGTCCCAAATTATTTATGCCTCTTCATATGCTTCAAGGTCCCCTCTTTTAATGTCAGCAGTTGTGATAAACTGTAGCTTTAGGTTTCATACTTGAACTTTGCAAATGTTTAACTTCTTGGACTTAAAAGGAAGGAAGGTAGCATCCAGGCTTATGCTGAAGTTAAAGGACCAAGCGTGGCGTACTGTGGAGGCATAGTGGGACAGGACATGATAAAAGCAACTGGAGAGCTGGCAGGGTCTTTGGGTCTCAGCCCTTGGTCCAGTGCCATCATGGAACAGTTGCCAACATGCCACAGGAGGCTTGGCGGTGGAGAGACAGAAAGCTCCTGCTGGTCCACCTTGCTGTCTTGTTGCTGCGGAGCCTAGTCCAGATGGCTTCTCTGCACCATGTTTGCAGAAAGCCCCACATCCTCTGGCTTCATAGGCTGAGACTACACCAGCCTCTTACTTGTTTCTCTCAGGTCTTCCCCCTCTGCTTTGAGCTTGGAGAAAGATGGACTGGGGCTGCCTGCTCATCTGCCTATCTCCCTCCTGGACTGTGGACGACGTGAGGGTGGTGCTCTAGTTTCCCGATACACAAGTCCCCAAACTCCCTGTTAGGTACACAGCCAGTGCTGGTAGAATGGAAGGATAAATAGAAGAAGAAGAGGCTGCTGTGGGGTACTACAGGCCAGTTGTCACACTCACTAATTGTCCTTTCAAATACTCAAGTGCCTAGCTCATGCCCATCTGTCACAAAATTATAGCAAAATTTTCACCTAGAAAAAAAAAAAACAACAACACAGTGCAGAACTATTGTATCCACAGAAAGATTCAAGTTTGATATAAAACACCCCTCCTACACTGATGGGAAAAAAATGAAAGCTCATCTACTATATCTAATGGGGAAGACTGGCAGTGTCCTTTCCCTGTCCAGACACACCCATGGGAGTAGTTATCTTTACTAATGTCATTCACTCTCAGAAACCTCTTTCCTTAACAAGTGACCTTTTTTTTTTTTTTTAATTTAACTGACAAATTAAAAAAAAAAGTCTGTATTCAAGGTGTATACAACATGGTATTTTGGAAAAGGTATTTGCTATGAAATGACTAAATCTAGCTAACTAACATGTTAATTGCTTCCCATGCTTCTTGGTAGGAGAATATTCAAAAATCTATTCTCAGCAATAATTTCCATATGCATAATACATTTTTACTAACTATAAAGTAAACCTGTTTCTCTAAAAAAGTAGCTGTAAAGAAGATGAGGAGGGGGTAAGGAAAGAAACCTCTCGGTCTCTCTCCCTCTCTCTTTCTGTTTTAGAAATAAAACGTAAGAAAAACCTTTTGCATGCTCAGCCAAGGGCCCTGCCACTGAGCTCCAGCTCCAGCTCTAGACTACCTTTAATTCATTCATGAGCTTTACAGCTGGACAAAATCTGAACTCTGTCTCGTTACCAGCTGCCCCTGGACCAGCTCCTTAGTTTCTTCCATCCTCACCTCTAACTGAAGATGAGAAAAAAGAGCTTGGAGGGCTCTTGTGGAGTAATGTATAAGAACATGCCTAACAGAACGGTATATTGAAAAACGTTCAATGAGTGTTACTTTTCTGCCTCTCCAAAAACAAACAAAAGAACAAAATTTGTCTCCACTTCTTTTGTGCCTGGGTGAAGTAGAATGGCACAGCACAGGTAAGAGCTCTACTCACCCTTCTTCTTTTCTCAAAGTTGATCAGTCCACCCTGAAAGAAATGTTCAGAAGAATGTAAGCAACCGGACTGCAGAGCCCTGCACTGCTCCAGGCCCTACTGCACAGCTCAAAGGGATGAGAAAGCTGTAGCTACTAGTGATCTTAAAAACATGGCTACTACAGAGCAAGAGAATCACCTTTTTCTTAGAGAAACCTTCACTTATGGTAGATTGGCAACCATCTCCTAAAATGTCTGAAACCAACTACAAAATGCAATGATAAAAGCCCTGCGAGTCAGAATCCAGACACATTTATTTGCCAAGCTAGGAAAGACCAAATACTCCACTCCGCTCTTCCCCTTGACTAAACACAACAAAAACAGATGGCCACTGACTCATGCTGGAAACAGAACTGCCAATGGTTTATCATCAGAAAAGTCACTTCTCCACAGCACCGTGGAAATTAAGTTTCAATTCTTCATTGCCACCGTGCCTCATTCTCAGTAAGTTAAATTTAATTCCTCAGGATTTGCTCGCTCCCTGCAGTTCCTCAGCACTGTTGGGTGTTTCCTGAGATAAGCTGAGAAAGAGGACGTGAGGAGACACGAGTGAGCATGTCTACTTCATGTAAAGACTACTTGGAAGTAAAACAGCTTCCCTTTCTAGTTACTGTACATGCAAAGCAGCCTGCATAGGAGACCCAGCGACAGGTACACATGCAGACTGCTTTTGCATTGTAGCATGCTGTGTCTTGTCTGTGACTTGATTACGTTTGGTCGGCATTGCTGGGAACGGAGCTGGGACATCAGGGACGAGGGCCCTGAGTGAGAAGTTGAGCCCTACAAATAACCTTTACTCTCATTTCAACTGCCAGGTCCTTTCTAGTTACCAGTTTATTACTGCCACTCACAATCTGCTTGCTCGAGCGGATGTTGCCACTTTCTTTATTGCAAAAGAAAGACAAGTAGGTGGATGCCAGGCACATGCTCCAGAACAGCAGTGACACAGTAATTATAGAAAGGGATGAGGAGGACCTACCTGAAAATTCACTGATCTGGCTCATTCTTCAAGTCCGTCTGTAGTGTGCTCAGACCACAGCCCTCAAAGGGCATTTTAATCATGTCTGTGCATGTGGACCTAACCATGCTCTATCATCTGACATGCTCCATCACCTTTCACTGCATTTCTGCTCACACTGCTACCATTTCTGTCCACTGCTACCTGTTTTGATAAGTGGTGATCTCTTTCCATGGCCTTTGCCTGTCTTCTGGTGTTTGCTTTGGTTTGTTTTCCCACCACCTAGCCATATGCAGTGTGGGCTCCAAATAGATACAGAGTGAAACGAACTTCTCCATGAAGCCAAGAAGAAAGCGGCAGGCCCGGCTGCACCTACTGCAGAGAACCCACCTCAATGTGGTCCTGAAGAGCAGTGTCCAGCATGGTCAGGTCAGTCAGGAAGGTGCCCAGGTAAGGCACGGTACCCTGCATCACACCCTGAAGAGAAAGCAGAGCAAGGCCATCTTTACTGTCACTGAAAAGTCTAACACACACACACACACACACACACACACACACACACACACACACGCCAGAGAAAATGGACCTGGGCGAGACTAATTTGGAATCATTAGTGTCTCCTGCAGGACTGAAATTGCTTTAAAGCCCTACACAAGCAGGACGGGAACTGCATGACCTAATGTCTAATTAGCAGGCCTCCAACCAGGAGATGACATGTGTGTGAAACCGTGCTCACTGTGGGGTCTGCTGTGCTTAGACCTTGGCCAGCGGGGTCGGTCCTCTTTAGTGCGTGCACATGCCTCCAGCTGGCTGGCGATGGCTGCAGCATCATTAAGAGCAGGCCACTATTTCCCAATGAAAGGAGGGGTCCAGGCTATCAACAGTGTGGCTCACCACTATTTGTGATTCACTTTCAGAAAGACAGAGAGAGAGAGAGCAGGGACTGGACACACAGGTTAATCTGGCAAACTTGAACCAAGCTGGGGATGGTCTCATCACCGTCCATGTGACAGCGGATGACACTCTGACACCACGTAACTCCTTGAAGGAATGTGACAAGAGGGGGACTTCATCTCTGTGAAATTCTTTCCAAACAGGTGTGACCTCGGCCCAATCACTAGACAAACAAATACAAACTCAGACTTTGAGACATTCTACAGGACACCGAGGCGGTATACTCCTGTTGGCTGTGGAGGTCATGACAAACAAGTTAAGACTTTAAAGTTGCCACGGACCAGGAGTGATTAGAAAATCAAGACAGCTAACTGCTGCTGGTACCCTGGACTGAGTCCCAGAACAGACAAGGGGTGACTTCCAAGTGATGTCTGGATTTTAGCTGACAGGATCCTATCGGTGTCCATTTCTTAGGATTCTCTGTTCTTCCACCACTATAGATGAGGTTAAAAGTGGGGAGAAATGAGTAGAGTTTTTAACTTTCATCTCACCAAATCTCCTTTGAAACTATCTCTGTTTTCCACAAGGCCATAGAGGCACAAGTGTTCTTTGGGGAATAAAAGTAAGGGCAGAGCACGGACATTTTCTCATATATCCAAGTACTTAGGGAAACTGGCTGGAAGACAGAGTCTGAACCAGGGCAAGACCAGGCCAAGGCAGGCCATGTCCTTAGCCAGTTCATACCTCACAGGACTTTGTCCTTCTGAAACTGTCAGCTGCAATTTAGTTTGTCCTTCCCTGTTGTGTGTACAAGGTCTTATTCTGAACTAAAATAATCTCTACCCCTTTCTCAGTAGCAGTTATTTTTAACTGTCTTTGAGCAATCGAAAAGAGTAAAACACTTTGAGTTTGATCAGCTTTAGGTTACAAGAGAGCTCTAGCTCTCAAAAGTATTGCTAAATTATGTCCAGACTTAGGGAAAGTTCTCTCTGGACAAGGATGAGAATATTCATTTGTCTAGACTCTAATTTAACACCCTGTGCTAAAAGTTGGGGATTTAAGAACAGGGCCAAAGATGATAATAACTATCCTTTTGCCTTCAGAAAGGAGGCATGGTATTCTCTGAGAAGTGAACAACTAGAGGCAGTTAGGACCCAGAATTAGGACAGAGAGCTAGGTAATGATTAGAGAGCTTGCGAACAAATGAAATGATGATCTCTGTCTACAAAGACCACATCTTCCTAGCAGGAGGCAATGTCTTTCCTTAGCCATTACATCCCCAAAGATGCTGTAGGAAAGAAGCCTAGGAGGCTTCTTCCTGAACTGGCAGCAGCGTGCAAGTGTAACAGTGGGTGGAGGAGATGGCAAGAGGATGGAGATGGGCCCACTGCACACTTTCCTTCATCATCATCGGGGGGGGGGGGGGGCTGCGTGTGTGTGCGCGTGTGTCTATGTATGTGTAATTTGCAACTCTTGGTATTCATTTGTCACTGGATCTAACATTTTTGCTAAAGGCCTCCCAGGTTAAGAACAAGTAAGGCAAAGAATGGAAGAGCCTTCTGACAAGCGTGGGTGTCCTGCAGACGGAAGATGCTGGTGTCACGTGCCAGCTGCCCAGACAAGTATACAGGACCTCTCTCCTGCTGGCCACTGGAGATATGCGAGCATACCATATCCTTCTGCAGCTGGAGCCGCCTCTGAGTCCGCTTCTGGTTTTCTTTCACACTGCTGTCCAGGTTTGCAAATTTTGAAGTTCCTTCCTAAGAAACAGAGTGTACACAGAGGAGAGTCACAACAATGCCAATCTGGAGAGAAGAAAAGGGGTATCTGGGATCTAAAATACAATCTCTTCCTGGGTCCCAAGATGTCATGTGAATGAAGACGCCTCCTACAGGCCTTCAGGCTGTGTTAGGGCTGGGCTTGGGAACCTTGCTGCAGACCCCTCTCTGCAGGAGTGGTCTGGGGTTACCCTATTCCTTCCTAATTCTGTAAAAGCAGAATTTGACCAGAAAAATCAATCATCACCAAAAGATAGGTGATTCCCAACATGGGAGTTTTGGTTTTGCTTGTTTGTTTGTTTGTTTTCATTTTTTTTAAAACACATCCCAGGTTTCACGCAAATATTGTATCCTAGAATGAAGCTTTCTTCCTGCACATTTTATGACTTCTTTACCTTGGCCCAGAATGAATGTGCCAGCACTCTGTGAAGGAAGGGCTCCATGTGCTACTATGTAGCTCAATGAAACCTTTGCACAGCAAGATTTTAAGGAAGTCCAATGGTGGGGTACATCCCGATTAATGAAAGGCTGGCCATTCGCGGGTTTCCCTTAGTCCTCCTAAAATGACCCCCAGTGTGAAATTCTTACAAGTCTACTCTTCCTCTTGCAAAAACCCTGAGACAGATGGCCACCCATGCTCCCTGCCTGCTGCCTGGAACAAGAACCTAGCTTCCACAGAACAACTAATCATGGGTTTGCTGACTGAACATAAACTGTTTCAGTTTTGTGGTTTCAGGGTCTTGTTAAGTTCTCATTTTCCAGGAACTGCATGAATGGAAGGCGATTTCACAACTCAGTGTAACCTCTATATTAGTTTTTCCTAAGTCGGTTTCTCCGGGGTTTATTGCATTACCTTAGCATGTGACCTTACATCACCATACAATTACAAAAGGAATCTTTCTGGGTGTCAGGCCCTGAATAATAGTGCCAAGGCATAAATACATTCTATCATTAACCAGCTGTGATCTTGTCTGGGGCATGCCACTGGGGACAGAATCCATCTCAGATGTCCCTATCACAGATGATAAGAAAGAGCTATCATCTAATGACATTCCACACAGTTTGTCCTGGGGACACATGATAAGAGTCCAGTATGTGCCACTTCCTATACCAGGTGGTTGCAAAAGCTCCCACATCGCTAACATTTAGTTTGAAGTAAAAAAAAAAAATAAAATAAAATAAAAATCAATGCTGCCTGATATGAAGACAAGCCTCCCCTCTTCTTAGTGTATACCTTCCAGATCCTCAATTACAGGTAGAGGGAAAGTGCTGCAAATTAGTTAAATTATTTATCTAAATTTCTTCTTCTTTTTCTTCTTCTCTTCTTCTTTCTTCTTCTTCCTCTTCTTCTTCTTCTTCTTCTTCTTCTTCTTCTTCTTCTTCTTCTTCTTCTTTTTCCTCCTCCTCCTCCTCCTCTTCCTCCTCTTTCTCCACCTCCTTCTTGACAGAGTTTAACAGTGTAGCTCTGGCTAACCTGGCTCTTGCTATATAGACCAGCCTGACACCACAGAGAGTCACCTGCCTCTGCTTCCCAAGTACTGAGACTAAAAGCATGTTCCACCATCCCTTGCTTATCTAACATTCTTAGTAGGGACTTCCAAAAAGTCAAGACCTAAGAATCAAAAAGCAACAGGGGATTCTTAGGAGCACTGCACTGAAGACTCGTCCCTATGAGCAGGGGAGTGGAAGCCCTGAGACCAGGAGTGAGATCTATTCATTTCACGACTGTGGTTTCAGGAGAATGGGACTCCACCTCTGGCTGCAGCACTACCACGATGCCAACAAGCCAACCGTACACAGTGTGTCCCTGGAATCTGAGCACTTGGGAGGTCAAGGCCAGCCTGTCATGACACCATGAGTTCAAGGTTAGCCTAGACCACACAGTGAGGTGCTGTCCAAAGAAAAGATAAGGGGTAAAGCAGAGGCAACTGGTCGCAGCTAGCTCTTCCCAGTGGAAACCCATTCATTTGTCATATTCCAAATTTGAAGTCACATCCCTCCATGGAGTGAAATTTTTTCATTGTTGTCCCCCACCACACTACCTCTCTGAACCTCCCTAAAACCTGTGAGTTCCTATGACGCACCACGCAGGTGCTTTCCCCCGATATCCTCTGATGCTCACGCTCAGACTCTGGGCTACTTACTCTTCCTTCTTCCCAAGTCATTTTATTTTCCCAAAGGCTTCTATCACTGGAAGTGACTTCAATGATCATCTCTGTTGATGAATTTCAAATTTCTCCCTGTGCTTCCTTAACCTCTCACATCCATCCTTCTTCCTCCTGCCCTCTCCACCTCTAACCTTCTCCCTAGGGCAAGTTTTTCCCTTTTATCTCTCTTTTCCTTTATCTCTACATTTGCAGACTCCAGCTGCCTTCATGTTGTTCCTGTGCCTCAGAGACTTATACTAGATCTCAACAGACTTTGTCTGTGGGGTACAGGCTTGATTTCAATATATGACGGTTAAATGCAGCTCAGAAGCTACTGGAAACGTCTGTTTGGATAGGTCTTCACAGTGTGAATGGCCTCCTGCTTCAACCTTGATATTAAAGCTGACCATTCATTTCCACCAAATCCAGATGCCTGGAGTATTTTTTTTAATAAGTTGTTTATATTGTTTATATTAATGCAGCCAGGAATATTCTCAACCACTAAGAGACAAAAGAACCAAGATTTGGTGGTATTCTGTCTTTTTGTTGTTTTGAAACCTACAGATTCAGTAATTCCTAATTATTTTAACTTTCAGAAATCATAAAGTTATAACAATTTTAAGACAGACTTTGAAAAAAATCTTTCTCGACAGAAGTAAAACCACAAATGGTCACTAATTATTATGCTGTCTAGGCCATAAGATTAGAGAAGTGGCATATTACGTTCACCCGGAAGTAGAAGATCGGTCATTTTAAACTAAGATTACCCAACTGTAAATCAGAATCTAGGAGTAACACATTAGAAACAGGGCCCAGTAGTTTGTCTTGGTGCTTATTCTGAGAACTTAAGTACCTTGATCTCATTATTTACAACTGTGCTGAGAAGTTACACCCAGAACTGTACACTTCATATGAATAATGATCAACAGAGATGACGGGAAAGGGATCTACATGTACATATAGACCGCCCAAAGCATTCCACCAGCATTCCTGACAATGTGCAGGCCACCTGAACTTATTGCCAAGTTTTTCAGTTCATTGGGATTTGAGCCTTATATGACATTTAACTTTAGAGTACTGAGGTGGATGTCTCCATTTGAGAAAGGTTTATGGGATCTTTAATGTCTAGATATAGCCTTGCCTCTAAGGTTTCAGCCAGAAGACTGTCACCAGGCAATGAGCTGCACACAATTCAGTTTATCTGCCTTTGGAAGGATGATTCAGGGCTATTGGGATTTCAGTGTGTGGCTCCAGCTAGTCTAGCTCTGTGTTGCAGACTGGGAGGCCACTAAGCCACGTCCTCCCAGCCATATGGGTTTCCATTTAAAGTCTGCAAATCCAGAAAGACATGAAACGAGGAGTAACACAATCACATGAATCACTGTTTAGTTAGTGTGCAGTTAATCAGGTGGTCCAAAGCCAAAGTCAGACATCAGCATAAACCGCCCACCCTATAGCATCTGCTCTCAGAAGAAACCAGAGCAGGAGAAAGACAAAATCATGCGAATGACAAGCCCCATTAATCTATGCAGTCAAACAATAGTTATGGATGTGTGCTTCATGCAAGGCACTGTACCAGGCATTAGGGAAGCAAAGCACAGGCCTTTGATTGTCCCTAAATCGGACTCACAATTCAGCTATACTATATGTTAGGTATGTACCTTAGGAATTAGAGGTATACTACATCCACCTATGGGTCTTGGCTATCTACAAAATAAAGATAACAAAATTTAGATGGTAAAAAAACTATGGAGACAGTAACTGACCTATATTAACTGCCCATTGATTGTACATAAAGTTATTTGTCATTATGTGAGTAATTACTGTAGAGTGCCCATAGTCATCAACTATGGGTGGACTCATGGACAAAGAGGCAGTGTTATAAATCTTCATATTTCTAAAGACAGGTTCAGTGTTTTACAAGTATTAGGCATTCAACACATTTCTAAAGAAGCAAAACAAGCCAGGCTATACCTTTGACCAGCAGGCAGTTCACCACTTATCTGGTGTTCAATAAACATTGCTAACTGAAGAAAAAAAAAAGATACTGTGCAATCTGGCCCAGAGAAAGGATGTGGAATTGCAGAGTGGCCTCTGCCATCCCTATTATGCTGAGAAGGGATATTCCAAGGCTTCTCATCCATACAACTGATAGCACTGAGTATCTTCTTGTTAAAGACATATACATTTGAGCCCAAGTCTTGATTTCAATTGTGTAGGTGGGAAGGAAGAAAGGGTAGAAGGAGAAAGATCAATTGGAATTTGAATTCTCTCAGTCCCAAGTTTCTTAGATTATGCATAAGATTCAATTTCTGCTTCTCTGGAGAGCTGAAGGAACTTAAGCAGCTGTAAAGCCGCTCTTCCCAGAGTTCCCAGCAGGGCTGTCCAGGCTCCTCACCTTCATCAGCAGTTCCCGACTGGTTAGATGGTTATTATGATCAGAGAAGATATCTGAAAGTTCTTCAAACATCAGCATTCTGTCCCTATGAAGACAGACAAGGGAAAAGTAAACAACAGAGATATGGAGAATCTGACACCTAAGCTTAGCTGTCTTCAGTACTTATTGCCTTGAGAGGCTATTTGGACCTCAGGACCGGTGGGTAATATGACACAAAGTGTCTTCATGAAGAGAGTCTTTGTGGAAGATGACATGGTTACTCGGATGATTGGAGCAAGTTTTCTAATCATACCTATTTAATTTTTTTTTTTTTTTTTTTTTACAAAATAACAGTTTACTTGGGGGCATCAAGTTCTAGAGAAATGTTCCCTTAAGAAAGTTTAAAAAGCACATATCTCCTAAAACAGAGTCCTGTGAAGGTTATCTTAGCCAGACACCTAAGTTTAGAGAGAAAGATGCCATGGCCAAGAGCTTGCTCTAGTTTTCACTGGTAACTGTTGACAGCAGCATATACAGAATCCAGATGTTCTACATCTTGGGCCAGTGTTCTTATTCCTGGAGTCACAATGGACCCATGGTCGTTCCACAGCTGTGGTGGATGGGTTCAAACCTTAACTATGCTACTTACTTCCTTAGTGATCTTGGACAAGTTGCCTAAGTCTCCCAAGTTTCGATTTCCTCATCTGCACATAGGAAAACAAGTGCAGGATGACACGTGTGTGACCTATGAGGCTCCAACCCTCCCTGTGCACCGCCCCCAGGAGCACCCTGCCTGTCTGTACATGCTTTTCTCCACAGCCACTGAGTGGATGATTTTGAAGGACACAAATGATTAGCAGCCAAACCACCATGTGTCATCAAAAGGCCATTATTAAGACTTATTTGCGTTAAAATGAGTATAATATTATTTGTAAAACAAATTCATGAAAACTATTTTTGTTTTGGAGAAAGTAATTAAGAACTTAATTATACAAGTGTCTCAATAAAAAGAAATCAGTAGGTAGCCTCTATTGACTGAAAGCTAGAAATGTAAAAGATGATGATGAAAAGTGGTCAATAAGGTATCTTGACTCCAACCTCTGAATGTAGCCACGGAGAACACAAAAGACTGACCTGGAAAGGGCTTAGGTGATGTTTTAGGACATCTTTTCTAAAATGTAAACCAACCAAGCCACAAATCACATATGTCCAACAGGATTCAGTTTTGAGGATTTTTTTTTTCTCTTTTGTTTTTGAAAAGTTGTTTTAAAAGCCAGCTGGAAGAATGGATCTTCTCTTTGGCAACCAGACAAAGCATGTATACTGTTGACTACTATTTGAAAGACTTATTTTCATTACTTTTCATTGTGTGTTTATGTCTGTGTGTGTGAGGTGTGTTTCTTTGCTTCCCTCAGAAACCAGAGGCACCTGGTCTTCTAGAATTGAAATTACAAATGAATGTGGGTGCTGAGAACTGAACTTGGGTCCTGTACAAGAACATGGGGTGCTCTTAACCATTTAGTCATTCCCCAGCCCCCATGTATATTAGTTTTTGAACTTGTAGTTTAATTATTCAGACTTGCTGTAGAAGAAATCCTAGGCTAGCTAGATGACTTTCTATACTAGCCAACTGTACTAGTCAATCACCAAAGAAAGTCATGATCATTTTTCAGACATGGCTGAATTTTAACCTCTGAGCAATCCTTTGTTTATGGGGAACAGTGATGAGGGGAAGGGAAGGTGATATCAAGGTATTGAGGAGATAGGCTTCTGATTTTTCCCATCCTACTTTACCAGGGATTCTCAACTAATGATCCTTTAGGACCCATATCTTTCCTTAAACATACGTTCAGAGGGAAATGTGTCAACTAATCTCTCTCATACAGTCACATGCACTACTAAAAATAAACAAACAAACAAACAAACAAATAAATAAATAAATGAAGGGGGGGAGGAAAACAAGAGTTGTAATTCACTGGATTTGAAAAGCCTGTCTTCCACTTTTGTCCTGACAGATAATGGTGTCATAAACACGGCTTGAGACAAGTAATTAGCAGATGCAGTACCAGTCCCTTAGCGTTTAATCAGTTCTGGCTGACGATGGAACTGAGCACCTCGGCCTGGAGGCCTGCACACAAACCTGGAACAGTCATGGCTAGAGACGCCACTGACCTCCCCCCTGACCAACACTGGCTGATGGGCAGTCCCCACACTCCTCCTCCTGCTACAACTTGATATCTTCATTAGTTCAAGCCTGGGAAGGTTTGGATGGAGCTAACTCAACTGGTACCCATGACACAAGGCTTGCCCTCTGGGCTGGCTAGTTTTTTTGTCATCTTGACACAAGTGAGGGTGTTATGGGTAGAAGGGATCTTGATTAAGAAAATGCCTCCATTAGGATTGGCCTGTAGGCAAGTCTGTGGGGGCATTTCCTTGACTGATGACAGATACGGGAGCACCCAGCTCACTGTGGGCAGTGCCATCCCAAGTAGGTTATCCTGGATGGTACAAGAAGGAAGGCTGAGCAAGCCAGTAAGCACCATTCCTCCATGGCCTCTGCATCAGTTACTGCCTCTGGGTTCCCGCCCTGACATCCCCTGGAAGATGAGCTTGTAAACTGTATGGTGAAATAAACCCTTTCCTCCCGATGTTGCTTTTGGTTATGGTGCTTTATTACAGCAGTAGAAACTCTAAGACAACCTCTACATTTGAACTAATGTGAGAACAAATTATCCCTTCCTTTAAAAAAAAAATCCTCTGGTCCACAACAAAATGTCAGAAGTGGAAGAAAGAGCAATAGTGACAGAATAAGATCACTGTGCAACCAATTATGCCAGAGGGTGGACCGAGAAACATGAAGAAAACAGGACAGAATGCTAGCAAGTTAATAACCTCAGGCAGGCACTGTGGAAGGAACTCCTCCCCTCATTAAGTCATTTTAATATGCTGAAGCAGAAACGGACATAGTCCCTATTGAACAACAAGAACTGAGATCCTAATGACACACATTATTCCTCACATCCTGGAGCAGCTCAGGGCTTTGGAAGAGGCTGAAAAATAACCAGGAGTCATCACTCCACAACCTCATCCCCCAAGATCCAGATGATAAGCACGCCCTTCCGATCATCCCCAAGGCTCTGGGGATCTTCATCATGGCCCTGGCACACACTGAGGATGAGTGTGATTTCTGCAGCTGCCCTCCCTCAAAATTCACTAATGCACCCTTCCTGGAACACAGAGATGGTTTCAAATATGTTTCTCTTGTCACCTAATAAGTATTCTGATGTTAAGGACTCACGATATGGAAGCAGCAAAGGATCACCCTGGCCAGAAAAACAGAGCAGGCACTGGGGAACTTACTTTGGGACGGCAGCCCAAGCCTTTTTCAAGCGATAGATAGAATTGGACTGCAGTGCGGAAACGATGGCCCTCAAGGAGGAAAAATTCTTCAGGATTCTACATTCCTGTATGGGGAGTGATGGAGACATAAAAGTCATTTAAATATCAGTATTACAGTGAGTTGCTGGCTTCCTGTGTTAGAGGTGTTACAGCTGCTATGAATTCTTACCACTAAATAGGCAGCTGTATAAATACTGGACATCAAAAAGTGGCTCCTTCCTCCCGCCCCAGTCACCAAAACACTTTATAGATTTTGGCACTGTAAGCTTGTTTTTCCCCCTCTGATATATTTTTTTGCATTGTTGTTACAGTTTTATGGTTTCCAGCTTTCCCAGTAAAAACAACACGAGGAGGTGAACATACATGGCTCTGCTGGAGAGCACAACTTTATTCAGCAGAAAGCAGACGCATGCCTTAAAAACACACACAGATCACCGTGCCCCTTCGGTCTGCCCAGTGAGCTGGGCGGCAGCCACCGTAAGTTCAGATGGTAGAAAGAGCCTGTGGCCCGAGAGGTGTCTATAACTTGGCAATAAAAAGTCACCACGGGTTGAACTTCAGCTTTCATGATCTTAGCCAAGGGGGGAATATTTTTATACACATTCATTTGGTTTCAAATTGGCTTGTCCCACAATCGTAAACATTCAGAAACACCTTGGTACTTCAATGCTTTCAAAATAACTTCAGCTTTTAAAAATAAGATTCATCTTGGCAGTGTTTTAAAACAAAACAGAGAAAGAACAGGAAAGATTCTGGCTGTTGTTTTCTGGGTAAGGAGAGAGGCTCCTGACTTAAATGTACCCTACCCTAGGGAGCCAAGCCCACAGTGTGGGCAGTCAGTGGCCCTGGAGGCCAAAACCCTGAAGATCATAGGTCCAGTAAACAGGAAGAGGGTCGAATTGTTAGCTGGCCAGGGGGCGTGCCCACATCCGGTGAATGTGCTACGTCTATCTCGGTAAGAGGAGATATTTTACATATGGTTACACAGTGTATCCAGGTTCCACAACTGAGTGAGTACATGTTCAGCTTCAGGCAGAACATCTCAGGCAAGAGGTGCTAGAGTGGTTGGGCATAAATGCAAATTACTGTCAAGAATCATTTTGCTAAGTTATCTTGCTCTGGACTATGAAGGAAAAACAGAGTTCTCCAATTTGTCATGACAAAATCTTGCATGCCAACCAAATCCTCAAATGTTTTCTTCAGAGTAAATTCCAATGTACTTCATAAAAGTCATGCCCGGTCTTTTAAAATGTCTTGATATCACTTTTATTGAAGAAGAAGAAAGAAGAAGAAGAAGAAGAAGAAGAAGAAGAAGAAGAAGAAGAAGAAGAAGAAGAAGAAGAAGAAGAGAAGAAGGAAAGGGAAGGGAAGGGAAGGGAAGGGAAGGGAAGGGAAGGGAAGGGAAGGGAAGGGAAGGGAAGGGAAGGGAAGGGAAGGAAAGGAAAGGAAAGGAAAGGAAAGAAAAAAAGGAAAGAAAAGAAAATAGGGAGGGAGGCAGAGAGAGGGAGAGAGGTGAGATGCAAGAAGGGAGGGAAACACAGAGAGAAATAAAAAGATAAGACAGACAGAAAGGGAAGAGGAGGGAAGGAGGAAGGGAGGGAGGCAGTGGCAGGGAAGAATATGAGAACGGTGGGGGGGTAAGGAAAAGAGGGAGGGAGAGAAGGGTTTGTAGTGCTTCTGCTGCCTGGAAACCTCACTCTGACAACATGGTTCAACAAAGGTTTAGCATCCCCAAATTATGTTCTAAAAATCAGGAAACTTGCAATAAATAAAGATACTCAGGCACTGGTATATCACGTCCATCGTAATAAACATATGGAGCGCATTAGTCATAACAGGCTGAGACTATGGCTTTAAGGGAGCACATGAAACATCCAGTCCTTCCTCTTGAAAAAGGGGCATATTCCAAAAGATGCAATGCAAAACCAAAAATGCAGCACAGAGGACAGGCCAAGCATACACACCCATATTAGGTCAGAAATAGTTTCTACATGTAAATTTAATATCATTTTTCAGGCCTTTTTTTTTTTTTTCTTAATAGAAATAGACTGTGACTAATGAAGGAAGAATAAAAAAAAATCTTGGCAGGAAGTTTCAGCGTTTTGTGAAGTTATCCTCCATGATTTCAAGAGACATAACATATTCAACACTAGGGAAAAGTCCACTGTAACTGCAAGACAGGGAACTGTCGGCACTGTGCACATGCTATGTGATGTGGAATACACTTTGACGTATCCACAGTTTCTTCATCAGGTAAACACACAATCTATGTTTAACTTCAACTGAAAGTCATTATTTGACTAACACACACAGGGATGCTGTGTTCTAGCTAAGTAGTTCAACGAATTTGGGACATAAGGACCATTTGGTTTTGAGACATAAATGTTGTGGCAAAAAAAAAAAAAAGTACAATTCTAAAAAGAAAGAGACAGCCCATGCTAGTACCACATTCCCTCAAAACTTTTTGCAGTTGTTTTTGTGGAGAAATAAGTAAGTTCTTTATGACTTCCATGCTTTGTTTCTTGCTCATTTTTTTTTCCAGATACTAGCAAGAGTGGAATAATAGGTTGTCTTAAAGACTCAAAACAAGGCAAACTCTCTGGAACTATTGTGGCTTTTCTCTGTGGTCAAAAAACAATAAAAGAAAATGTGAAAGACTTAGGCATTGTGGCCTATAAACAAGGCTTGGTGGAAAAAACATCTAATGGGACAGGAAGCAAAATGTGCTTTGGTTCAGGGTTAACCAGGGCCAGAAGACAGGCTTACAGGATACTTATACAACTAATTCCACAACCACTTTTACTGTAGCTTCTTCTTGCCTAGAAGAAAACTTTCACCTTCAAGTACCTAATAACCTACACTTTGATAAAGTGAAATTCATGCATGCCATCTCTCTTGATCACCCTACTCAGAAGTAGCTTTCCCTTCCCCTACTTCTATAACTGAGGTCATTTCAGGGAGTCTGGTTCCTGGACAGCTTAATCAGCTGCCGTCTACTTTGCTATATCCCTAAAGTATTGTAACTCAAACACATTAGGAACTCACAAAGTAGATGAGGGACAACTTAGAGACTGTGCCTTTCTCTACATGATGTTAGATGCCAGTCATGTGGCTCTTCAGTGGAGGCTCATAGCTGAGATCTCAGGTCTGGAGTCAGGAAGGCCATTTACCAAACCCAAAGATACGTTCTTAAAAGACAATTACGTGAGCAATGTTGATCCACTTCTCGATGATCTTGGCTCTCTGCTGAGTCTTGAGATCCTTGCTCCCCAGGACGGTGCTGACGACACATTTGGTGAGGGTGTTAAACTGTGCGATGGTGGCACGAATCGTTGGAGCCAAATGTTTGTTTTCCTTTTTATCCCTCCGAGACCAAATGCAGCCCAGGCAGTGGTGAGGCACTACTTTCTTGAATAGTTGCTGAAACAAAAGAGGAACTGACATTAAGGAAGGCACAGATGCTTTACACAACAAGTCATTTAGGACATCTGTAAGTGGGTGTTTTCTAAGTGGACGAGGCATCACTCTCTGCTTGACCTGCCACATGGTGTCTAACTCAACAAACAAAATAAATAAGTAATAGATGAATGGTCAGGAAGGCCCACACGATGTTTTGTTTGTTTGTTTGTTTGTTTGTTTTTGTTTTTTTGAAACAGGAGCTCTCTCTGTAGTCCTCGCCACCCTAGAGCTCACTTTGTATACCAGATTGGCCTCAAACTCATAGAGACCTGCCTGCTTCTGCCTCTCCCATGTTGGAATGAAAGGAGTGAGCACCATACCTAGAACCCCACATGATCTTTCAAATTTCTCAACTCAGAAAAAAAAAAAAATGACCAAGAGCAAATTAAAACAATCAAAGCTATTTTTATTTACCCATCTTGTATCGAAAGTCAAGCTGTGAGGGTATAGGCAGCCTGCTTCTGGGTTGCCTAGTAACGTATGATGTCATCATGTGTCGCCCACCAGGTATGTGGCAGGCATGGTTCAGCTGCACAAGCTATAAAAGGACCAACCCGCCAGTTTGTCTCTCTCTTACCTTCCTCTCTCACTCTCCTCTCTAACTCTCCTCTCTTGCTTTCTACACCTTGTTTTCTTTCCGGGGGGGGGGGGGGGGCAACATGTCTCTCTCTCTTTCCTTTTCTTTATCTCTCCACCTCTATCCAATAAATCTCTTTCATATAATATCTGTTGTATGCATAGGATAATTTTTAAATAAATACTAACACAAGCAACTCTTAATAAGGTCTGTGCTACTGATCAAAACGGAAAAGTGGCAATGGTCATTTTAACCTCGAAATCATATTGAGTGTCCTGGACCCTCAAGAACCACCAGCTGTCTCCCATGCAAACTGATGCTCTCAGGCCACCTGAAAAGATGTCTACATAAGTACAACACATGCCACATTTCTCAATGCAACTGTTTCTCATTTTTCAAAGCAGAGAAAGAAGCTAACAGAAGGGGAAGAAATCAACCTCACATACTACACAGAAAAATGGGGGACCTAAAACCTAGTTTTCAGGTCTTTTCCTTAAAGCAATAAAAATAAGATATTTTTCATCTCTCCCTCATTCTATCAGTTGCACAACAACAGCAGTAAAAATGACTGAATAGATCAGATTCTCAATATAAGGTGTATAAAAGTTGGTATGACAAGAAAGATGGTCGGCACGTATCCCACACAGACTATCTAATTTATTTTCCACCCGGCATTTAGTCCACATATTCTATCTAATCTACTGTCCATACTTAATTTTCTTTCCCATTGGATGGAAACTTCGGCCATTTCATATGCTGCAAAAGTGACAGAGCTCAGTTAAGTGCTGAAGAGTAAAACCACCATGACAATTGCTAGTTCTTTAATTATGTTTCCCAGCAAACTCCAGGCTATGAAATGTGACTAACACAATCAAATAGGCACAGCACATATAAACAGTCACAATTCAAACGTGCAGGAAGTGCACGTGGAAACAGGCTGCCAGCTACAGTCCCATGTGGATCCAATGAATTTACTTCATCCTAACTTGTGCTTTGACCTCTTTACAATCCTCCAAATAAACAGTTGGGCTTTTGAAATATTTATGAGTCCAGAGGGAGAAAACTACCCACAGAGGAGGCTGGATTCTGTTTCACTAGGATTAGAATTCTTACTTCCCTCTGTGACCTGAGCTCTGAGGAAAATGCACTTTCACCCAGGACTGCAAGAAGAGCTGGGGCTTGAATTATTCACAGGAGTGATTCACGCGGCATCTAAACTCTCCCTTTGTGGACACGGACTCTCTCAAAGACTCGAAAGGACTTCCGGCACGCTACCTGGTGCTGCCCACGGCCCTCTCTCCACTCGTACTGTCACTGCCCACGTTGCAAGTAGAAGCACATCTGAGACACAGCAAGAAGACCTACCGCGTCCATGTAGGTCAGCTGCTCTGCCACGAGGTCTTCTGCAAAGCATGTGAATTCTATGGAGCCTCCACTCTCGAGTTCCTCTTCCTCTTCCAGGCTCAAGGAGATGTTGTTGAGAAGTCCATCTGTCCACAGAAACAGTCAGTGAATGGGTACCTCCTAAGGCTGTGTTCACGGCATCAAGCTAGACTTCTTTCTCATTCAGGAAGAAGAGGGCTAACTCTTCAGAAAACCACAGGTAGAGATGAACAAGAACGATATATTGGAGCAAAACAGAGATCTAATCCTGTGTGTTCACATATTCTTATTAACCTCAGAGGGGCCTTGAGCTATCCCCAAGAAATCACTCAGAGGCTAGCCTAGGCAAAGACTACAGAAGCAAAGCTGAACACAACCCTCACCTCAGCTTCCCCCACATTCATCATCACTTCTGGGACTAACCCAGCTAATACCTACACCCCAACCATGCAATCCTTAGTCGCTGGGCCACTGAGAACCAGAAGACCTAAAAGACTGAGCAGGCAGCAGGCCAGGCTTTGGTAAAGGTAGGACAGGTCATTTGGGTTTCAGAGATGTGCATGAGACCTGTAGAACATTCAAAAATATTTAGCACTCTCAAATGCTCAGAGTTGCTGTCAGCTTCCACATAGAGTGTGTACAAAGCGTGAAATAAATTTAAAGCAAATCCGCTGGAGCCCTATGTAGCTGGTCGTCAGTCAGAAAGTTACACAGGACGTAGCCTGAAAAAGTCAGAGGAAATGAGCACCCAGGAGTCTGTTCACAGCACTAAGGAGCCCAGCTCCAGGAGCCTCCAGTTCAGATTTCCTGACTGCAATCTTCCCCAGTCCCTGAGTTGTTTCCCAGCCTCATGCTCATTACACTCCTTCCTGTCCTCCTTGTCAAAAGTGTAGTTATTCTGGGGTCGGGGGATCCTAGCTGCACACAGTGATGTCAGGTCTGTCTTACATGTTGACATTTTAAGCCCTTTCTTTCTCTTTAGGATGGGCGTTGTTGATGCGGCTTCTTCAAAGCTTCCTATGAGAAATGGGGTGCCCAAAGTGAGACCTACACCACTGTGCCACCTGCCCACTCCGGTGGCAAGGCTGAGATTTCAGGACTGGCTATAGGCCTTAGAGTTGAAGGTTCTGATGTGAATGGGATTGGGCTAGATCTGGGAAGGTAGGAATAACACTACTTCCCGTTATCTTGCATACAAGGAAAAGTACCACTAGAGAGCTAAAATCCCACCATATGACTAATGTTAGAGCCTGATTTCATTACTTTTCCCTCACTCAACTCTGATACTTTCTCTTTCAGTGGAGAAGAAGTCTGATGTGCCAATCAAAGATTCAAAGGAGCTTCTATCCCTCCTGACAGCTACAATGTACTTTACTTTAAAACTTGTGAAACAATGCAGAGGTGGTCTGACTTCAGGAGAGTACAGGGTAAGAACTAATGTCCCTTACTCAAACATTCATTCATTCATTCATTCATTCATTCATTCATTCATTCATTCAGGTACTAGTAAGTCTGGTATGCACCTAAAATGTCACTGTGTGTGTGAAGACTATGATCCTTTCTCTCTGAGACCTAGGCTATGCTCTCACTGCTCTAGCCCCTGACTCTCTCCAGGGGGTATGTAAAAACTCTGTGCAGTTTTACTTTTGAGAACACACAGGGAAGTGCACTGATTTTCATAGTGTGAGTTGGGGAGAGGGGCATAAGGGAACCAAGAGTGGAGCCTGTACTTCATGAACAGGGCCTGACACATTCTTGCCAACAATTGCCCATACTTAGGAAAGGATTCCTTCTTGAGGACTGCCTAAAAGTTTTTGTGAAAGGCCGCCTCCATCGTCTGAGCCTCTGCCTACCAAAAGAGCTCTGCCCTCCAGTCCCTGAGCTGGAGACAGCCAATCACTGGTTCCCCAATTAGGCATAGGGCCAGAGGCAGCCTCAGTGGGGAGAGTTGAGCTTCAGTGCAGCAGTAACTGCAGCAGCAGCAGCAGCAGCAGCAGCAGCATTTTCTACTCAGGCACAAAGCTGGGCGGGGGATGCCCTGAAGGGAGAGGAGGTCTGGCAGCTGGAGCTTCCCGGGTATTCAGGCATTCCCGGCAGATGAAGTCATCTGAGATACAGAGCCTTCTGCAATCTGAGCCAGATGATGCAATTGCATTCCCCTTCTCTGGTCCCCAGTACACACAAACCACGGGACAGGTACTGGGCGAAATTTAAAGTTAAATTTAAAGTATTTTCTTTGGCTCTGGGGTAGCATCCCTTATCTGTGTTAGGGCCCATTTCCTTTCCCTCACTGAGGAAATCGGGTACTTCAAGGAAGTACCCATTAGAAGTTCCAAGTGGGTCAGCTGCCATGGAAACTGTTACCCAGCACCTCAGTGAAAGGATATAGCATCGTGCTGGAAGCCTGATAGAACCTCTCAACTAATTTCTTCAGAGCTCGGCAGTCAACACACTCCCTGGCCAGCAGTGGTGGCCCCTGCATTTGTCCTTGGAAACTAGAGGTCAGTCTCCAGTAGGAAAAAACAGCCGCAGAAACTTCCCTTGATTTGGCCATTAGAGAGAGTAGATGGCGGTAATCTATGCAGCCAGGGGCATTACAACAATACTTTCCAGGGCAAAGGAGAAACACGTCCTCCAAGGTTTTGTAAGGGGGAAGTGGGCTTGAATCCTTGCCAGCCATATAGGGGTGGCTGCTTGTCACAGGCTTACAATTGATAGAATGTATTAGGCGGAGAAGAAGCCAATCCATGTTGACAAGAGAGAAAAAAAAATCAAGGAAACTCTGTTGTTGGAGACAGAAGGAACCCCAGGCAACTACTTAGCTCCTCTATGGCAGCTTCAGTTTAACCTTTAAAGCCAGACTTGAAAGTCCTTCTTTTCACCCTAAAACCTTAAGGTTCTGAAGTTAACACTTCAGTAACTTTACACCTACCCTAATTTTGAGGGTTGAGACAATAAGTGGGGAACCCCCATGTTGCAGAATTCCAATCTAGGTTTTCCCTGGGACCAAACGGGTACTCACTGTCAGAATCTACTTCCTGCTTCTGAAACTGTTCGAGAAGGTTCTGTGCTCTCCTCTCAGGGTCGGAGCCAGGCATCATCTGTTTGAGATATTCCAGCAGCTTCTGCAGGCAAGGGAAGTGAGGGGGCTCCCGGAAGTCTTCCGCACACTGGTCAAGCCAGGCCCTCAGGATGGAAGCAATGGCGCTGGGAAAAAGAAATGGAGAGCTACTGAACCCAAATGTGGGACTCAAGACAAGCCCTGGACAGCACAGCTGGTAGCTAACGAGGGTTTGGGGGGTCGATAATGTTTTGTTGTGAGAAAAATCCAACCGAGGCAGACAAAAGATGAGAAGAGAATTTAGGGAGTTCCAAAAGTTTCCAAACAATCTGAACACAAGCCACTAATTGTGGATTTGTTCAAATTAAAGATCAGAACGCCAGGCTGTCGAGATGACACAGTGAGGGAGGCACCTTCCACCAAGACTGACAACCTGAGTTTGAGGCCTGGGTCCCACATGGAGAAAGGAGAAAAACAAGGCTTAAAAATTTGTCCTCTGACCCCCGTGCTGCAGGATGCTCAGGCCACTGCTTCAACTCGCACACAAGTAAATGAACAAATGCAATAAACCAGAAGAGGAACATAAAAGTAATCATATTGATATTTTAGAGATAACTGGCTCCAGTTTGGCCAGAAATCCATCTGGAGAAAGAAAGTGTCTGGGTTTTTTTGGGGGAAATTCGTAGGTTTAATCTTATAAACATCACTAGGGCTTCAGGACTAAAACTTTCCTCATAAAGTTATCCCTTTGTTTCTCAAATTACAATGAGGACGTGTCTCAGGAACCACGGGGTGGAGAAGTTAGGTCTCTGAAAGGTAAATGGAAAAACAACTTGGTAGGCAACCATACCGCAACACCATTTCTTCTGCCGTATTCCCAAAGGTCCACAGGAGCCAGAGCACAAAGCCAGCCAGGGTCATTCCGGGCACTTGGCGTGCTACAGACACATTCTGAGTAACACGGGCGTTGCCTTTAAGTTAGGGGTAGCTCTTCCCTCGAGAGCAGAGTCAGAGCAATGACAAAAGGGTAAACTGTTTGGAGTGCCATTATGCCATGCTTCATGTGTACTCAAAGAAGACTTCAAAGACTTTGGAGTCAGAGCCTTGCCAGGCTGGCTCCCTTCTCTAAAAACCAGATACTCTGCCTCCCTAATAACACAACCTCATGGCAAGGGATGTTCACTGATGCTGGCAGGGGAAAGAGACAGGGAGAATCAATAAAGCCGTGTGCATCCCCAGGCGAAAGGACCACACTTCATCTTAGCTTTTTTTACCTACCTAAGACTGTGTGTGTGAGTGTGAGTGGGTAGGTCAGGTCACAGGTGAGCCTCCTATGTTACTCCTTAGCAGCCCTCATCTGCCTTGTCTGTTGAGATGGCCTCTCCCTGGGACCTAGGGATCACCATTAGGCTAGGCCGGCTGGCCAGCAGGCTCTAGGCTTGTCTCAGCTTCCCCAGCACTGGGATGGCAAAGACAACACCGTGTCCAGCTTCTCTTTTACACATGGGTGCTGAGGATCCAACCGGAGCCCTAACGCTTGCTTATGCAGCAAGCATCTTACAGACTGAACTACCTCCCCAGAACCACAAAATGCTTTTTAGAGGGTTTGGAAGATAGCAGTGGTGTAGCATTCGTCCAACATGCATAAGTACTGTTTGGGTTTGGTCCACAGAATCACAAAAAAAGAAAATTATAATTATCTACTATACTGAAAAAAATGTTTATATAATTAAAAACTAGGGTAGAAGTTACTATGAACTGTGCAGAATTGTGCAGCGGGCTGTTACAGTGTCTTAACTTCCATACTGTAATTTCTTACCAAAGAACTGAACTGCAATCAAGGCGTAACTACCACAGAAGTCCACTTGAAGTTAACTCAGCTTTTGGAGCTCAAGAACAAACAGCAGAAACGGCTATGCACTGACCGTTTTTCTACTGTGAATATCATTCTTTCACTACTATGAATTATATGGCATCTAGAATTGCTACTATTTAATTACATACATGATGACATTAAACCATCAACAGAAGTAATTCAGTATTCTAAATCTTCACACTAAATAAAAATAGCAAAAACTTTATTTCCCTCCAGAAAGCTGACAGAAAGTAACCTGGGCTTTGGATTAAAATTGAAAACGTGAGCTCAGCCTAGTGATACATGCCTTTAATCACAGCACTCAGGAGGCAGAGGTAGGTGGATCTCTGTGAGTTTGAGGCCAGTTTGGTCTACAGAGCAAGTACCAGGATAGCCAGGGCTACACAGTAAGACCCTGTCTCAAAAACAAACAAAACATTGAAAACATGAGCACAATAAAACTAATAGCTTTATATTTTGAGAGCCCTCATACTGCATTAATCACCGCTCCTTTTAGTAACCAAACCCAAATAGCATAATTTTAAACATTTATCATTAACATTTATGTTAATATTCCAGAATTACACTAACTACACTTAGTATGATATTAAAGGAGAAAAAGACTACACAAAGGCTAAAGAGAATGGGTTGAGAAGTGTTTGCTAAGAGTGGAAGAAGTATGGATAAATATGACAAAGATACAGTACATACATGTGTAAAACTGTCAGGTTAAATAGAAGAAAAAATCAAGCTACCATTCTAACGTTAATTTTTTTATAACATATAATTTGGGAGTAATTTCCCTTCCTTTGCATGAACAGTAAGCACAGATTCACAAGCGGTGTGCATAGTTGGGCTGACACACTGGAGCACAGAAAACCTGACATTTAAATATAGAAGCTAGATTCTTACAGAATAACACTCTTAGAATTCTTAACATGAAGGCGAATTGATCACTTCTACGCCCTTCCCATTTCAATGAGAACACAGCCTTCCAAAGATACTGATGAACACACACACACAGGGTCAAAAGGAGCAATGAGCTAACCCTGAGACGAAATGAAGCGCCCTCACCGTCTCATATTCTAAAAAGAATGTCCATATGGAAATCCAAATTTACAAGGCCAGCCTGTAGGTCCATGCCTGCATCGGAGCACTCTGGAAGCAGAGGCAGAACTGCCTGGATTCCGGACTGTCTGGGTTACAGGGCCGGTTTCAGGTAAGCCAGGGTTACAAAGTAAAACCTTGTCTCAACAATTCAAAGGGCAAGGGAAAAGGGAAGGAAAAGGGAAAAAAAGAGCAATTAAGAAAAGAAGAAATCTTAACTTACAGGTAATTCAATGATATGACTGTATCAACTACTGCTTAATGAATAGTAATTGCTCATTTTAAAATTTAATGGTCATTTATTGAAAATGGTAATTCTCACCAATCTACATAAACTAAAAAGCAAAACAGCTGCTCCTCCCTGGGTGTGGTGGCACACTCCTGTAATCTCAGCACTCTGGGAGGCAGAAGCAGGCTGATCTCTGTGAGTTTGAGGCTAGCTTGCTCTACAAAGTGAGTACAGGACAGCCAAGGTTACACAGAGAAACCCTATCTCGAAAACCCAAAACCCTAACTTCCCCCCATCTAATCCCTCTTCAACCCAGCCCCATCCCTATGATTTGTTACCAGTTTGTAGACTATACTTCTAGGCATTTCTGTGGCTGTCCACACATACTCACTATACATGATACGCAAATATAAATCAACATTTCTCTTCACTTATCAGTATGCTACAGACACCTCTCCAGCCACTGCCTCTAGAGTTAATTATTTTCTCCCGAACACCGAGTCCTACTACATGGGCACACATCTTATAATCTAAGAATTCTTCCACTGTCAGGCAGAAAGTTAAATGATGTTCAGGTTCTTATGATAAAATTTGTGCCTTTGTTTATATCTGTATACATGGGTGACTAATTCCTCAAAGCATTTCATGTAGTCTGTGTCCAAGAAAAGTCACAGTTTCAGAAGGACCACAGAAGGTTGGCACAAGCATGGTCCAATCATGCCCACTCTGCCCTCATCTAACACTTTTAACTCACTCTAGTGAGCAACTTCCTCATCTAATCTGCTCTAACAGTGACTGGGCCACAGCTTAGCCTAAGGAGGCTTTGAGAGCTCACTGCAATCTTAGTTGAAATGTTTTTTCACACATGAAAAGGAATGAAGGGGGAGAAGGAAGAAATAAGAGAAGAGGAAAACAAAGAGAGCATAACCAGAAGGAGCGGACCCTTGCCCTCTGATCAGCAGTGCTCCTCAGCGTGCCAGGGAGGGAGGGTTTCTGGAAAGGCCTGGACCCTTGCCCGACGTTCACAGTAGCCTTATGTTTGCCAGGCCTGGGAAGAAACTTTCCATTCTCAATAGAACAAGCAGCAGATACAAATGTGGGGCTGTTAAGATTCCAAGAGGGAAAGCGACATTGCAAATATGACAGAGGAAAGGGGACAGCAGCTTTTCCATCTTCCCCAGCCTGGCTCCACTCCTCACTAAGACTGAATGGGAGGATTAGTGAGGGAGCCTTGCGGAGAAGGGAGATGCCGGCTGCAGCCACAAATGCACAGGCAGAGTATCCTACTGGACTGGAGAAGTCACTTGCCCCGGGGAACAGAACAAGGGGCTGGGAGAGGGTGAAACGCAGTTCCTCACCAGCAGGGCCATCTGTTATCCAGGAAAGTTTGTTTATAGAGTCCCACAGACCCCTAACTGGAGAAGGGACAGAAAACACCTGCCTGCACCTATCTGACACTGGTCAGTGGTGACTTCAAATGATATAATGTCAATGGGCCCTACTGAGATACATCAAGGGAGACATAATTGACAATATGCTTACAATGACCTGCGAAGGCCACAGGAAGGGACTCTAAAGGATCAATGGCTTGGTGAAATCAACTCATGGAAATCAACTCAAAAAAGTTGCCACCAATCATAGAGACAAATTGTGCCTCAACATTTGCGAACCCACCCCTGCTGGAAGAAGGCCACAGCTTTGAACAAACACTGACCATGCACATGTGGGCAGGACCATGCATGCATGCACACACAAACATGCATGCATGCATGTGCAAGCACCTGACATCAAACTAGAGTATTCACCAGAAGACAGGAATCTTCCACAGGGTATTAGAACAGGAGAAGAACTGAAACCAGGCAGAAAGCTTAAGCCTGGACACACCCTCCATTGAGCACTGATGCACAATCCTCTTTCCCAAAGCAACTCTTTGATGGGTTGGAGGAAGGTGTGCG